CTTGAGCCCAGGAGTTTGAGGTTGCGGTGAGCTGTGATGACGCCACTGCATTCCAACCTGGGTGACGGAGACCCTGTCTCAAAAAAAAAAAAAAAATCCATAATAATACAGGTTGAGTATCCAAAATCTGAAACTTTTTTTGAGTGCAAACATGACATTCAAAGGAAATGCTCGTTAGAGCATTTTGGATTTGGGATTTTGGATTTTTGTATTAGGGATGTTCGACTGATAAATATGTCATGCAGATATTCCAGAATCTGAAACACTTCTGTCCCAAACATTTTGGATAAGGAAAACTCAACCTGTGCTATATATACATGTACACAGATATGAAGAGAGACAGCTCCACAGATGATGGCCAACTAAAAGATGCAGTTACTTTTAGTGCTTTTCATCCTGTGTTTGGGTCCAGACTTCATCTGGCATGATGTCCCCCCTGCCCAAAGGACTTAAGATGCCCACTCAGGCAGGCCTGCTGGGGATCGTGCGAGCTATGGGACTGCGTGTGTCGGTGCATTTTCCGTCATAGTCCTTTGCTTGGGTTGGGCTGAGCTGCTTGGATCTGTGGGTTTGTTTTCATCTAGCTATTTCTTTAGTGTGGCCCCCGGTCTTCCCTTCAGGGCCGCCAGTCGTTCGGGTGAGGTGGCTGGATGCTGTCCCACAGCTCGCCAGCGCCTGCGTGTGCTTGCCTCTGTTTGCTGTTCGATAGTTTCTGTTGCTCTGCCTTCAAGTTCGCGAGTCTTCTGCAGTGTCGGTTCTGTTGTTAATCCCACCCAGTAAAGTTTTCATCTCAGACAAGGTAGTTTTCCTCTCCAGATATTAGAGTTGGGTCTTTCCATATCTCCCATGCCTTTGTTTAACTTTCTTGACATGGAATTCAGTTATAGAACTTTTTGACATGGAATACAGGTAAAATTATTAATAACTTTTTATGCCTTTTGCTGTTGATTCTAACATCTGGGTCAGTTTTAATTGATTGATTGCTTACTCTGACTGGTGTTTCTGTTTCTTTGCCTGCCTGGTAATCTCTGGATGCCAAACACTGAGAGTTTTACCGTCTAGCGCGCGGGGTGTTTTATCCTCCTCAGCTTTGTTCTGGGTGGAGTTCTGGCGCGTTGCTCTGTGCAGTTCCCTTTTTTGTGGTGATGCTCATGGCAGTGAACTGGGGCACTTGGGAACTGGCTGCTTCCTTCTTTCCAGCATCAGTGTGTCGTCTGCCAGATGTCCAATGTCCTAGAAACCGCCCTTTCACATTTTACGTTTTGTTTCCTTAGTTATCTCGAGTGTGAGGGTAAATTGGGTCCCTGTTACTCCATCTTGGCTGGAAGTAGAAGTAACTTTTACACTTCAAAAAGACAATAATGGCATCTTTTTCTGATTGTGAGGTCAGAAATGATTTCTTAATGTAAGATACTGAAAGCATTATTCATGAAGAAAAAGTATGATGAATTTATCTTTGTTAAAACTAAGCACCTCTTTTCTTCAAGAAACTCCAAAAGAAAATAAAAAACATGCCATTAACTGAAAGAAGATATTTGCCTCACATAAAGCCAACAATGATTTGTTTCCCAGATTTTTTTTTTTTTTTTAAGAGGCAGTCTTGCTCTGTCACCCAGGCTGGAGTGCAGTGGCCTGATCATAGCTCCCTGCAGCCTCCAACTCCTTCCCGAGTAGCTGGGACTACGGGTGTACACCACCACATCCAGTGTTTTTTATTTATTACTTTTCGTAGAGACAGGGATGGGGTCTCCCTATGTTGCCCAGGCTAGTCTCAAACTCCTGGCCTCAAGCAGTCCTCCTACCCCAGTCTCCCAGAGTACCAGGATTACAGACGTGCGCCACGTCACTTGGCCAGTTTCCAGAGTCTGTAAGTTAAACTACTATAAAAAGGAAAAAGATACCATAATAGAAAAAAATTGGCAAAAATATAGGCACAAGCATTTCAGAAAAGAGGTAAATACATAGAAAAGATGCAAATGGAGCGTTTGGAGAGAAAGCATTTTGTACCTACTGGGTAACAAGAGTCTGGAGAGAACGTGCACCAACAGGAAGTCACTCCTGCCAGTGTCAGTCTAAATTGGTTTATCCATTTTGGAAAGTGGTTTGGTGTTATCTCGTGTGCCTTATGTAGCTGGACAGTTTGTACCCTACAACTCAGCAACTGTGTTTCTAGGTATGTACCGGAAGAAGAAAAGATGTGAAAAAGGATTTCATGTGTAAGAATTTTCACAGTGGGCGTGTGTAAGAATGTACTTAACAGCATCTTTTATAACAGGAAAAGCAAACGTGCACCATTCCCATGACAGGAGGGTTGTGGTGTGTTCTCTGAATGGAATGTTATGCAGCACGTTACTTACTCAAGCAACAAGGTTTCTGGGGAGTGGTCATCTGGGGAACGGGGGATGAGATCACAAGGTGGGGGGCTGGGTGCTGCTGTCAGGAATGTTCCAGGTCTCAGTTACATTATGCTTTATAAGGTCAATACTTGTTAGATTTGTTCCCAAGTAAAACGTTAATATTATCTATTTTAAAATAATGAAATAAGTTTTAAAATGAAGGGAATTTCTTGATTGGTATCAAAACTTGCTATAAGGCTAAACTAAAAATCTATATATCTTTATGTCCTTGCCATGGAAGGACATAAAAGGTTGATCCAGCTAATTCAGAAAGCTGTATGTAAAACCGTATCTATAGTTAGGATCCAGTGCTGCGAGGACATACCAAAAAACCATGTGCTCTTGTGGATATAGGGGGAAAAGGACCAAAGAGCATATTCTGGGGACAGTATTTTGAGAAATTCGTCTATTTCTACAGCATTTGAATTTTGACTCTGCAGTAAGGCTGCCGTGCACATTCTTGGACAAGTGCACAGGCCTCTCCTCGCGGCCGTCGACTGTCCGTGCAAACTCTCTGAAGTGTCCGGGTCGTTCACCGTTTTTCAAAAGTGAATTGTTTCTCTTTTTAGTGTTGATTTGTATCTTCAGAGCTAATATCTTGAAACCATCTTTAAATTCTTTCCCTTGTTTGGGGTTCAGGATCACTTGATTCTTTCTGTTGGATATGTCTGTCTTTATTCTCACTTACACTGGTTTATGTACTTAAGTCTGGGTTACTGTGCAAATCTCCAGAGAGTTTTCATTGCTTTTGCTTTTCTTTCATTCAATCAAATATTTAGGTTGGTGCAAAAGTAATTGTGGTTTTGGACCGTGAATTTTAAATCATAACCACACTCGGACACATCTTTATTAATCAAAATAGGAACCATTATAATCAACCCATTTTTGCCAACGAAAAATAAGTTTGTTTATTCCTCCTGTAGCATAAAAATTCGTGCTTCGGGATTTGATGAACTCTTGGAAAGCATTTTCTGCATTCTGCTGGTTGTGGAAGCGTTTTCCCAGCAAAAAGTGGTTGAGGTACTTGAAGTGGTGATCAGTTGGCGAGAGGTCAGGTGAATATGGCGGATGAGGCAAAACTTCGTAGCCCCATTCACTCAACTTCTGTAGCGTTGGTTTTGCGATGTGCAGTCGGGCGTTGTTGTGGAGAAGAATCTGGCCCTTTCTGTTTACCAATGCCGGCTGTAGGCATTGCAGTTTTCGGTGCATCTCCTCGATTTGATGAGCATACTTCTCAGGTGGAAGGTTTCGCTGGATGAGAAAGCTGTAGTGGATCAGACCGGCAGCAGACCACCAAACGGTGACTGTGACCTTTCTCTGGTGCAAGTTTGGCTTCGGGTAGTGCTTTGGAGCTTCTTCTCTGTCCAGCCACTGAGCTGATTGTCGCCAGTTGTCATAAAATCCACTTTTCGTCGCATGTCACAATCCGATGGAGAAATGGTTCATTGTTGCGTACGAGAAGAGAAGGCGACACTTCAAAACGACGATTTTTTTTTACTTTTGGTCAGTTCATGAGGCACCCTACTTATCAAGCTTTTTCACCTTTCCAATTTGCTTCAAACGCTGAACGACCATAGAATGGGCGACGTTCAGTTCTTCAGCACCTTCTGGCATAGTTGTGAGAGGATCAGCTTCGATGACGGCTCTCAATTCCTTGTTGTCAACTTCTGATGGCCAGTGTGCCCCTCATCTTCAAGGCGCTCGTCTCCTTTGCAAAACTATCTTGACCCACCACTGCACTATACGTGCATTAGCAGTTCCTGGGCCAAATGCATTGTTGGTGTTGCCAGTTGTCTCCGCTGCTTTACGACCCATTTTGAACTCGAATAAGAAATCGCTTAAATTTGCTTTATGTCTAACATCATTTCCACAGTCTAAAATTAATACAAAATAAATAGCAAGTAATAAGTCATTAGCAAAACACATAAAGTGAGAAATACACATTAAAATGGTGTATAACATAACCACATTTAAGAATGTATTCCGATATCAATCAGCAAATTTCAGTGCTAAAACCGCAATTACTTTTGCACCAACCTAATGTTTCTGCCAACATCAGACTAATTAAAAAATTTTTTCTCTCTCATCCAACCCCTGGTAGCTGCCTTTCTCTCCTTTTTCTCAGCCTTGCATTCCAGATCTTTCTTCTAAGCTTCCCCTGCTCTCTGGTGAACTGGTTTCTGACTGGCTCTGCTGGTCCTCTCTGCCTAAGCAGCGCCTTCTCCCTGCATTTCCCACTCCCCTGCCCTAGCTTTGATCATCTTCTGCCCCTTTGATTGACCCCACAGTTGGCTTTGTGCTGTCCGTGAACGGATGCGGCCTCATCTCCGCTACAGGTCCTGAGGACGGGCGTTGTTGGGGCCTCCTGAGCCCCTTGACCCCCCGACCTCCCCACCCCTCACACACACGAGGATGAGGACACGGAGTGGGGTGGCGGGGCTGAAGGGCTCTGTCTCTCTCTCCCAGTGGGCATCCCCACCATCAGGTGGTGCGGAGCCGAGGGGGACTACAACGTCATGGTGATGGAGCTGCTGGGGCCTAGCCTGGAGGACCTCTTCAACTTCTGCTCCAGGAAGTTCAGTCTCAAGACGGTTCTGCTGCTTGCCGACCAAATGGTAAGGACCCAGTTTTCTGATGTGCCCAAGCAGTGTGAGTGCTTGGTGCACACCGGTTGGTCTGATAGAAGTAATTGTCCAGTTGCTGTTCTGTCCCTTTTTATGCCTATTAATTCACAGAGAGAAAATGGAAATGAGTTTGACTTCAGCCTCAAGGTAGTGACACTGTTGATTGGTTTGGAGACCCACCCTCTCCGCGTCACATAGCACGTTCCCCTCGAGTGCTCTCCCGATTCTCTCAGGAATACGTGTTTGATTCCTAACAACTTGTGTAGTTTCTGAGCAAATTCTGTGTGTAGCCTGTGCAAGAATACAGCTAGTAGAGGCCATTGTCTAGTAGCGCCTGTCCTCTCCCCGAGAGCCAAGAAGACAGAGACCAGGCCTAGTGGGGTGTAGCGGGGCTGAAGGCACCTGGGGAGGTGACTTTGTTCAGTTCACCATCCACCCTTCCTCATTGTTAAGTTGCTCCTCTTTGACTGGAGGGTCGAGAATGTGCAGCTCCTGGCATGGCCCCCAGTCTGCTGAACAGGCTCCTTTCCCAGACGTGCTGCTCTGGGGTGCTGTCTCATGTTGCTCTCTGCTTGTAGATTAGTCGTATCGAATACATTCATTCGAAGAACTTCATCCACCGAGACGTGAAGCCAGACAATTTTCTCATGGGGCTGGGGAAGAAGGGTAACCTGGTCTACGTCATCGACTTTGGGCTGGCCAAGAAGTACCGGGACGCAAGGACCCACCAGCACATCCCCTACCGGGAGAACAAAAACCTCACAGGGACGGCGCGGTACGCCTCCATCAACACCCACCTCGGCATTGGTGAGCCCCTGGGTGTGGGGTTACTGACCTAGGGTGCCTCTGGTCATGTCTGTCCCTCAGCCTGGGGAGGCTGGCCTCTCTGGCAACCTCAGGCTCATGAGCGTGGTTGGTGACCACCACTGGGAGGTCTAGAGCTGTCCTCAGACCTTTGTAGCAGGCAGGCTGGTTTCAGTGACTGTCAGGTGTGGAGGGCAGGTAAATGCTGGATTTTCTAAGCATTTCTCTATGACATTGATGCTGTTCCATCAGGGGAGCTCAGGAATTTGCTCAGGAGCCCATGAGGGGCAGCTTTTGGTCAAAAAGTAATCCAAATATATTTTTCTGTTATCTCTAAAGTGTTTTCTGTTGTGCGTGTTTGCTGGGTATTTTGCTTTTACACAAGCACACGTGCTGTCCTTTACATGTTACCCTTTTCTTTTCAGAGCAATCTCGAAGAGATGACTTGGAGTCTCTGGGTTATGTGCTCATGTACTTCAACCTGGGCTCTCTCCCCTGGCAGGGGCTGAAGGCTGCCACCAAGAGGCAGAAATATGAAAGGATTAGTGAGAAGAAAATGTCCACTCCCATTGAAGTGTTATGCAAAGGCTACCCTTGTAAGTGTCCTCCAGCCTGTCCTTTCAGTAGAGCTGGTTCAGAGGGTCTGTGCAGGTGTCTGGCTCGCATCAGAAGACTCGCTCGCCTTCTACGGAAAGGGTGGCAGGAACGAGGAGCGCCTGTGTATGGAGATAGTAGGTGGCCATCGTGTTCCAACGTACCTGCCGAGTGCTGTCTGTGTGGCACTCTGAGGCCCCGGAGAGATGGCGAGCGAGGCAGGCCCGTGCTCGAGGCCGACGCCCAGAGGCAGGGCTGGGTCTCAAGGAGACCCGAGTGGCTGAGCAGGTGAGGGAGGGGTGGTCAGACCTGGCCTTCACACTGGCCACAGTTTGCCCTCCCTGCCGCCTCTTGCTTCTGGAGCTATAACTCAGTAAGTGTTCCTTTGTGTTTGTAGGACTGCCCCTGGAATACATGCCCTAGATAAAATCAAACTGTGCTCTTCGATGTTGAAAGTTTAGAAACTCTTTCCTAAGGCCTAGGTTCTTAAAGCGTGACTAATATTTCAGATTGCGTCTTTCACACCTTCAGTATGTGTAGAAAAGGAGGTTAACAGTGATGCTAACAGACACCACTCTGGGTCTCGGTTAGGAGTTCACTCATTAGCTTTGAGACTCTTGTTTTACAGCTGAATTTGCCACATACCTGAATTTTTGCCGTTCCTTGCGTTTTGATGATAAACCTGACTACTCATACCTGAGGCAGCTCTTCAGGAATCTGTTCCACCGCCAGGGCTTCTCCTACGACTACGTGTTTGACTGGAACATGCTCAAGTTTGTAAGCGCCACTGCCAACTCCTTCACCCCTGCAAGTGCGGCACGGGAGGCTGGCGGCCACCTCATCTGGTCTCGGGTCTCCTGTGGGCACTGCGCCGTGTGTGGTTCAGGTCAGACAGGTGTGTCTGCCGAACCGTGAGGCAAGCGTCCCTGGCAGACTTTGGCTTGAGAGGACGAGGTCTGGCTGAGGTTGAGGATGCTGGGAAGCCAGATGCCCACCAGGGAGAGTCGGGACCTGCGGCCTTGCCCATCACGCAGGTCTGCCCAGAACAGGCTCTGCCTGGGCGGCTTGGTCTGCTCTCGTTGAACGGTGGCTCTGTTGTGGTTGCCGATCCTGAGAGCAGGTTGGGTTTGTCGGCCTGTGGTGCAGCCTGTTCCTCCGAGGCTGCTGTGCGGCTGGAGGGCTCCACCCTGGTGCTCCCTGCCCCCTCCTGCCTCTTGCCCAGCCGAGCCTGGGGTGGGGCCAGTGGGAGCAACAGATATCTTTACTGCCCAGGAGGGGCTGGGGGCCTGGTGGGGTGTGCTCCGCCTGCCTGACCCTGTAGTGAGCTGGTTTTGCGAGGCGTGTCCTTGGTTACCCACAGTCTGTTCTTTGGGCCTTCGTGTGTGAGAACATCCTGCCTGTGTCCTGGGAGAACCTTGAACGTCTCAACAGGCAGCCTGTCCCTGGGACAGTTGTGTGAGTTTAATTAATTAACATTTGGACGCCACTGCCAGAATTGGCACTTTCGTTGAACTTTCATGTTCTCTTTCATTAAAAATGTATTCTGTTGTCAGTTTGAAGAAGTTGGACTCTTTCCAGGTGACAAAATCTGGTGGATGGGCAGAACTGCCTCTTCGGGGAGCGCAAGACGCACAGCGCACAGCCTCGTGAGAGGGCTGTGTGGGGCAGGCAGGGCAGGGGTGCCCGCTGGCTGGCCCGGGTGTGCTCTGCAGGGTGGGCGCAGGCCAGGAGAAAGGCCTGGGGCCAGCGGGAGCCCAGTCCCTCCAGGGCTGGACGCGGGAGTAGTCGTCCTGCAGTGCTGTTCTCGGTATCCCTCCCTCAGGCACGGGACAGACTTTGTAAAGGGCCAAATAGTAAATCATCCCAGCTTTGCTGGCTGCGTGTGTCACAGTAAACTACAGAGACAGGTAGCGCCTGGGTGTGGCACCGCATGCAGGCCCCGCCTTACAGCATTGGTCATTAGAATGTGATCCTCAGTGGCCAGTTCCTCAGCTTAACTGCTTAAAACCTGGTGCCCCTGCGTCTGGAATGTCCAGTGCAGACCTGACTGGCAGCCTTGTTGCTCTGCCTGCGTGTGCCTGCTGTTGCTGGTGTCACCGTGGCATGGCTCGACTCTGGCGGACTCTCACCTGACCAAATGCTACGCGCCCCCTTTCCTCCCCGACTGGGCATTTTGGACTGGTCCCCTCTTGGTGTCAGGGTGCGGATGTGCACAGAGAAGCACCCGCCCGATTGCTTTCTATTTGAAGTTCAAGGAAGTTCTGAGCCACCCGGCGCCCCAGCCTGGGAGGGGTTTTCTCTTGTGTGTTGGGGAAGGACACGGGGGCTGCGCACCCCCAGGGGTCATGCGGTCGCCCAGCAGGAGAAAGGTCATTTTCTGGCTCACTGCGTCATGGACAGCTTTTTGGGGCAATCTCGTCCCAAAGGCCCCTTGGTGTTTTCTCACGTTACCAGGGGACAGCCGGGTGCCATCCTAGTGTCACCTCCTCTCTCCTTAGGGTGCCAGCCGTGCTGCTGACGACGCCGAGCGGGAACGGCGGGATCGAGAGGAGCGGCTGAGACACTCCCGGAACCCAGCCACCCGGGGGCTCCCTTCCACGGCCTCGGGCCGCCTGCGGGGCACCCAGGAAGTGGCTCCCCCCACACCCCTCACCCCTACCTCACACACGGGTGAGTGTGCCCCTCGCAGAGCGCCCTCGGAGCGGGCCATGGGGAGCCCCTGGGGGGGCTCTCTGGCCTGTGGGTTGGGGGAACCCGGGCCCAGGACACATGGGGGCTGATCCTGGCGTGCCGGTTTCTGCTGATTCTTACTCCCGAGAGTAGGTGGGCGGGGGGCAGCCAGCCCGCGATGGCGCCTTTAGATGCGGTTCATAGACTTGGTCTCTTGAGTTGGTCTGATTGAGTTCCTGAAAGCTGTTACCAGTGTTTGTAATCGCTTATATACGTAGAATTTCCTTCTCTCACCACACAAATTTTTCCTCCACGAGCCCTTTGACACTCCTATGTCCCCACATGCTCTTGGCATGTCAGGGCGCTCTCCCCCCGGCAGGTATTCCTGGCTGGGCTGGTGCCTGCTGGGCTGCTCTGAGTGGGGGGTGGCTGTGGCTGTTGGCCCTGCTGTCCCTGCAGGCTAGTGAGATGTTCAAGCCACCAGGGGTCCTCGCCGACCACAGCTTCCCCAGGGGAGGCCCCTTGCGCAGGAGGCGAGGCAGCACGCAGGGTGCTCACTCCGCTTCCCTCCCTCCTCTCAGCTAACACCTCTCCTCGGCCCGTGTCCGGCATGGAAAGAGAGCGGAAAGTGAGTATGCGGCTGCACCGTGGGGCCCCGGTCAACATCTCCTCGTCCGATCTCACGGGCCGACAAGATACCTCTCGCATGTCCACCTCACAGGTACGCACTCCGAGCTCGCTGAGGCCGGGGTGTGCCAGGCCCAGGCGTGGGGATGTGTGTCAGCGCCGGGCCGCTGGCTTACCCTGTCTTCAAGGCTCAAAGTTGAGAGTAAGATGAGTTTTTTGAAGGGTTTGTTTTTTTTTGTTTTTAACGTTCCCCATTTTTGTTTTTAACCTGTGGGGAAGTTGCATTCCTAGTTGCTGCTTTGGCTTCTTGGTTGAGAGCCAGAGAGACAAGCTTTGCAGCTAACGGGCTTGTTCCCAGCTGCAGTGTGGCAGGTAACGGGCCGTGTTGAGGGCTCTGCCTCTGCTGCTGCTCGGGTGCCCAGCAGTCTTCCCCGTGCAGACGGTCACTGCACGCCTGCTCACCCTCGTCAGCAGGGGCTGTGTGGGCGCACCCCGTCTCTGAGAACTTCCTCGTTCCCGCTGGCCGGGCAGGGCCCCGTGCGGGAGCTGCCCACACCTCTGGCCGGGGCTTGGGGCTGTAGGAGCCTTCGGTGGTGGCCCACCCCAGCGGCATGCCATGTGGTGAGGCTTCTCATCTTCTGATGACCATGTCGACTGTGCTGCTCTCTTCATGAGGAAAGTGTGCTCAGAGAAACGTGCCTGCTGAGCGCCAAGGCAGGGTGGCCCGGCCTGGCCACGAGGGCGCTTCCTCACGCCCATCTTCCTCTCCCAGCATCCTCCCTCTCGCTCTGGCTTTTGTTGTTGTTGTTTTTTTGCATTCGCTAACATGCTTCTTTCAGTAGACCAGAACAACTTTTTACACATATACTGATTTCTTTCTCTTGAGGTAGTTTTCAGGGTCCCCTGTGGGGGCAGGGGCTAGGGGTCGGGGGTGAGCCCTGGTGGGGCTGGCATCCTGTGGGGTGCTTGGCTCACCCTCCGGTCTTCCTAGGTGAGCAGGAAACTCGTTCCAGAGGCGCGCTGCGGACGCGTCCTGTCCCCTGATGATGGGGCTGGGCCCGAGTAGTGCGTGTGCTCTTGGCTGCCTATCGTCTTATCAGAAAACGAATCCTTTCACTGAACACTTCTAACTCACTAATGATTTTACTGGAAGTGGACTTTTTGTGTGATTAACTTTCTCCCAAAGAGACCAAGATGCAGGGGATTTGAATGAGTGGTTATTTGAATTGTGGGCTGAAGGCTTGGCCAGCGCCGTGAGATTGGGGCCCTCGTGTGCTCACCCGTGGCCTGCGGCCCTGTGGCACACAGGCTCTCAGCAGGCTTCTCCGTGATCCCCGGAGTCCCCCGTCAACAACTGTGAGCAGGTCCTGGGGGGCCGTCAGGGCCTGTCCGTCCTCTCATGCGGCCCCTCCATAGTCTCCCAACCCGCGAGGAGGAATGAGCGCGGCCTGCGTGTGGTGGGCTCTGGCAAAGACCAAGGAAGGGGCAGGCCCAGCTTTTCATTTTTCTTTTTTTAAGAAAATAAGGCATCTGGTGGTTTGGGATCTTTGAGGAAGATGAAAGAGTCAGGAGTTCCCAAGGGTGCTGGGCAGTCTCAGGCAGCTCCTTCTGGCGGTGTGGCCCTGGCCGGCACCCAGGGCGTGGCTGTCTCAGCCCACCGGCCCCCGAGGGTGCTGGGGGACTGCACACCGCTCCAGGGTGGTGGAGAAGAGTGCGCTTCCTTCCCGCGATGAGCGCGTGGCTTGCACTCACACGCCAGTGCTCCCTTGGGCTTTTGTTTTCCACGTGAAGAAATGCAACGCGGGCGTTAAGAGCAGGGATGAGCCTCCAGAGAGTTTATCTTGCGGTGCTTTCCCTCCAGCAGAAGCATCTTAGCTTTTGTTCCTGGTCACCCCGGGTTTTCTTAAGACGCGTGTGATGAGGGCAGGGCGCCCGCACCACCTCCAGGACAGGTGCCCTCCTTGGTCACCCTCAGGAGGGAGTTTTTTCCTGTCTCTTGGAAGGCTTCTGCCCACACAGCACATCCCTTCCCTCCAGGCTCTGTTGGCACCAGCAGGCTCAGTGGCTCTGTGACCGGCAGCCGCCAGTTCTGCATCCAGGGGATAAACGAGGCTCCTTCTGGGACCCACAGATGAACGTCTGCCCTGAGGGTTGGAAGTTAAACGAGCGAGCGGGGTTGCTCCGGCTTTTACAGTTCAGCAGCTGTTACTCACACACACGCCCCGCCCAAAAAAGAAAGCTGGGGACTCTGGTGGACGTGGCAGCACGCTTGCTCCTCCGGATGAGCTCTGGGGAAGCAGGCAGCCCAGGCACAGGGACTTGTGGCGGGCACATCTCCCAGTGCGTCTTCTACGCAGGCTGCCGTTTCCCCAGTTTTTGTGCCCCTCTCAGGAGTCGGTGCTCCCGGTGGTGTGACAAGTTGACAGAAGGGCTTCCTGGCCCTGGGCAGGTCTGGACCGGTGACCAGCATCCGGTACGCGGTGATGCCCAACGTGCAGGTCACCAGGGCAGCCTCTGCCTGCTACAGGGCAGCCTCTGCCTGCTACAGGGCCTCCCCTCCTAGACTGCAGGGGCCGCGCCCCGTACCCCCTTTCAAGGGCAGTTTGAGTCAGGCCAGGCCTCTTTGGCCAAGTAGCATGGTGAATCTGTTTGGTTTTTGTTTTTGTTTTTTACTTTGTGAGAAGACAGGCCTCATCAGTCCAGAATTGTCCACAAAGATGCCAGTTATTCCTTCCGAGGCCTCGCTTTAATCGACACCCTGCCCCAAAATAAGGTCTGCAGCCCCGATCTGCGTAAAAGGAAGTGTGTCCTCCTGTTCATGTGTCCTGGGGCAGTGCTGTTGCCACCACTTGTAGCCCCACAGCCTGCTGGGCATCAGGTTCTCGGTGTGAGACGAGCTAGGAGGGTTTGTCCTGTGCCCCCGTCTAGAAGAGGAGCAGCTGCCACTCCTACTTGAGGGCCAGTTGTGAGGAGCCAGTGAGATTGTGGCCGTTCCCTGGGTGCCCCCAGGTGGCCCTGGCTGAGGTGAGGAAGCCTGTCTGGACACAGGAGATGTAGGCAGTCAGGGGGCCAGGGCCTCGCGTGCTGGCCGGCTGGTGGGACGCTTACCAACAGCTGTCTTTTCCCCACCTCAGAATAGCATTCCTTTCGAACACCACGGCAAGTAGCTGCTCGTCTCCCGTCGGAAGGCGGCACTGGGTGAGTGTGCTCATGGTGGGCTCGGCAGGTGGCAGGCACCGGGTGGGCTGGGAGCACCACCCCCCACCCCCAACCCCGCCTGTGGGCGCTCTCAGGTGAGGCTGGGCTGCATGCCAGGTGCCGGCAAGGTAGAGTGAGGCTTCTTCCGCTTTGTTCTTCTCCTTGTGGGGGTCCAGAGCCGCTGCCATCAGCTGCCCAGTCTAGGGGGAATGCCGTGCATAGAGCGTGTCTCTGAGCGGAGTGACTGTCCTGCTGTGCCCTTGGCCTGTGGCCCCCTGTGACCGCATTCGCCGTGCCGGTGCGCCCCTTCTGTCCCTGGGTGCCGTGTGTGGAGCGGAAGTGCCACGGCGCTGCCCTCAGGGCTGGCTCCAGGTTGCCCCAAAGCACTTGAGCGGCCTCGTCTGGGGTCGGTGGAGCCTGGGAGGAGTGTGTGTCGTGCTCAGCTGAGTGGCGCCTCGCTTGGTGTTGGGGGCTCTGAGCTCTTGCTGCATTCAGACTTCTTGGTCTCTGCCTGTCCTGGCTTTTTTAGTCGTTTCTCTTCCTATCTCTCATTTATCTCTGTTCTCATTTTGTGTTTCTTTTCAAACCTGGTCTCTGCCCAGCCATCTCGTCCACGCAGCTGTCGTCTATAATGACCCTCCGGCCACAGTCACCCGCTCCCCCGCGTTGGTGCATGGCTGGGCATCCACGCTGTGCTCCCTTCTTGTCGGTGACGCGGCCCTTGGTGGCTCCTTCCAGCAGGGGCTTGAGCTTCTGTCGGGTCTGGTGCCGCTGGGAGACTCGCTGCGGCTCTGATGCTGTGCGCACTCTTGGAAACGTGTTGACAGGAACTGCTTTTCACGTCTTCCCCCAAAGGGATAGTGTTTTCAAAACACCCAGTTACTTTCCAGGAAGGGAGGCTGGGAGCAAGTGTCTCTCCCCCTTGGATCCTCGCCGATGGCTGCCGAGGTGGCTCCGGGGTCACCTTGCCTGCATGCCTCTTCCCCCCTTCCCAGCATTCATTCAGAGCATGTGGCCTGGCCACAGAGGTCCCATCTCGTGGCCAGGGGTGCAGGCCTCCAGACGGGGGCACGGCGGCAGTGGTTGTCCCCTCCCTGCCAGGCTCCATCACTGTGGTGTCTGTACCCGAGCGCCCGGCTGGCCCGTTCCTCTGGCCTCACGCTGACCTTCTCCTGTGCTTTGGCTCCGACAGATTCCCGGTCGGGTGGCTTCCAGTGGTCTTCAGTCTGTCGTGCACCGATGAGAACTCTCCTTCTTGCTGTGAAGGGCAGACAATGCATGGCTGATCCTACTCTGTTACCAATGGCTTTACTAGTGACGCGCCCCCCGGTCTAGAACCGAAGTGTTAACCGGGAGCTCTGCAGGCCACTCACCCAGCGACGCTCATGGGGGAAACAAAACACAAACTAAACGGACAGACTCCAAGAGCTGCCATCACTGGGGCTGCCACCGAGGCCCCCCACGGGAGCTGAGTTGTGACGGGGCTGGGAAGAAGGCAGTGAGAGAGACTCAGACTCCCTTGCAAGAGCTGTCAGCCCCTCCAGTGGTGGTCACCTGTGCTCCCTGACGATTCCACTGTAACTACCAGTCTTCTACTTGGTTAAGACAGTTTTGTATCATTTTGCTAAAAATTACTGGCTTAAATCTGTGTAAAGAAATCTGTCTTTTTATCGTTTCTTTCTTGTCTATTTTTGCGGTCTTACAAATGGATGTTGACTTTAACGAATCCTGAAACAAAGACACTGGCTTGGAGTTTCTGTGTGAAGTGGAGTCAGGCAGGGAGAGGGTGCACATGGATATCGAGGGTGTGTGTTGTGTTTGTTTCGTTGTGTTTTGTCCACTTTAGAGAGGAAGTTTCTCATCCGTTCTGTTATGTGTGCGTGTGTGTCGTGGGACCTTGGCAGCCTGGTTTTGGCATCTCACTCACTCTTGCCTGCTGCAGACTGGGAACCTCGCCAACCCGCGGAGCGGGCCAAAGGTGCTGCTCCAGGCCCCACGCGCGCTGTCCTCCCAGGGCAGGGGCGGAGGACTCAGATGAGCTCGGAAGCAGAGGCTGTGAGACGGTGGGGCGCTCCGAGAGAGAGAGTTGAGTGCATCTGTGGTTCGCTGGGAGAGGACTGTGAATCAAGACTCGTTGGGGTCGCGTGTGGTTGCCTCGGTGGTACTTACTGCCTCACCGCCTTTGAATTTGGGAACTTCTCTGAACAGACTGTAAATACTGCCGTACGGATTGGCTGTTAATCTGTGCTAATGCCTATGTGCTCAACGCCACAGAGCGGGTCGTTCCCCGGATGCCAAGGGCGTTGCCCAGAAAAGCTGGCGTGCCGCAGGGCATCCACCCTGAAGTGCCGAGAAGCAGGTGACTCTCACAGCCTGACCAGAAGCTTCAGGTCCAGGACGGGTGGCAGCACACACCTTGGGACCCTCGGTTGGATGGACGTGAACCAATGAGAAGTGGAGCAGGGGTGGGCTGAGTCTCACCAGAAAGAAGTCGGCTCCCTGGGCTGGTGCCCCCCGCAGGGCTCGGGGCTGCCGATGTGCTTTTTTGCCTTTAATTCTGCAGCCATCAGGCCGCACGGTGGAGACAGCCAGTGCAGTGGGCTCTCCTGTCTTGGGAGTGAGGTGCGGTGTCTGCTCATAGCTACTTCTGCCTTTCTTCCTGTCACCTGTGAGGGTGTTGTGTTTGGAAACGGGGCGTGCATTGGGAGCTGGGGACCTGAAGGTGTCCACCTTGGATCCCTCCCTTCCCTGTGGCCCCAGCACAGGAGCTGTCCTGGTGGGCCTCCCAGGGTGTGGCCCTTTGCTGTGCTGGCCACACATCTGTCTGAGGCCCTGGGTGCTTCTTTCTGAATCTTGAGCTGGTTGCTCTGTAAGCATTTCGGGGTGCGGAGCCTTGATCAGGTGGGGCTGTGTGTCAGGGTGCAGGGGGAGGCTGGGGCGGGCCGGGGTGAGTTTGAGGTGTTCTTTGTTGGCGAGCGCCTTCATCCGTTTCACTTCCCCCACCCCTGGCGGTGTTAGCAGTGACAGCCCGTGTGGCACGAGCTTTGTAAATACCCGCGGTCCCGACGTAGCGCCAGCAAGATTGTGCAGGGCAGCCTCCGACCTCTGCATCCAGGCTCCAACCTGAAGTTGCTGGATTGCGTCGAAGTGGACTCGCTCCGAGTCCTCGAGGGTGTGTGGCTGTGGCAGTTCCCACCCAGTGTTTACCCCCCACCGTACTTGCAGGAAACATAGTTAGAATGTCTGTGTCAACCTGTGTAGTGGCAGCAGTCTGAGCTGTGCGTTTGTATCACCACTGTACTTGTGTACTTTAACAACTGTGTACATAATAAATTCCTAATGACTTCTACCTTTCTTCCCTGCCCCTTCCACGTGGTCTTTATTTCGTCGGCTTGGGAGTTTTCAGCGTGTTTTGGTTAACTGCATGAAAACTGTTTTTTTGAGGATGGGCGTTCCTGTCTGTCCTCGTCAGCCTAGTGGTGTCTTTGCCGGGGGAGCAGGCGGGAGGGCCGCGCGGCAGCCTTGCGGTGGGGTCGGGTGGGTGCTGCGCATCCCTCAGCCTCGCCTCCTTGAGGAAATAGGCCCCCGACCTCCACGCACTCTGGCTGTCCACAGTGTGGTGCTGCTGGCGGGTGGCTGCTTGTGGTTTCCTGTGGCGGCCCCCGTCCCGGGAGAGGTCCCCTTCCCCTGGGCATGGCCCTCCGTGTCCCTTGGTCTGGCTCACGGCCTTGGGCTCCCTCTGCTGCATGAGTTGTTGGAGCACAGGAGTGGCCTCGTCTCAGCTCCTGGGCAGACCCTCCGGGGTCTGGGGGAGAGTGTCAGCTGTTGGATGGGGGTGCCTGTTGCCTGGGCCTGTCCTGTCCCACAGACCGATCTGTGCTGATGAGCTGAGAGCTGGGCCAGGCAGCCTGCCCTCCCCTGCGCTAGGGCCCCCGGCCACAGCCCTGCGGCAGGGCCCACACCGTCTCCCCGCTCAGTTGAGCACGTGCTCTGTGTAGTAGTCGAAGCACAAGCAGGCCTTCCTGGGCCACACACACGGAGGCTGCTGGAGCTGTCTAGGAACAGGAGGGGTTTGCACTGGCCACACCTGGGCGTGTGCTGGAGGGCAGTTCCACGGCCATCCTGACAACTCTATAGGTTCTGGGAGAGGGCTGGCGAGGAGCTCCCCCCTCCCCGCTCACTCTTCACTGCCTGGGATGGAGAAGGTGACACGTGGAAACTCTCTGTGGCCATGGGATGAGGCGCCACCCTCACCCCACTCGCTGCCACATGGGCCCCAAGCTAAGCCCAAGTTCTAGCTCCTGCCTGGCCTTTCCAAGCCTAGAGCCTCCCTCCTGGCTTCCTGTCAGGGCACGTGTGGGGGTGAAGGGAGCTGGTCCTCTCTGAAGCCGGGTCTGGCTGGATCCCAGTCCTGAGGACGTGGCTTGGTCGTGAGGGTCAGGTGCTTCCCCGCAGGCCCTTGCTGGACCCCTGCCTCTGCCCTTGGCTCCCCAGTGTGGCTGCTCATGTCTGTCCCCAGGTTTTTCTGCGAAGGCCCAGGGCGGACACATCCCTCTGAGAGCAGGGCAGGGGTCAGAGATGCGCCCCGCCCCCGGCCTGACAGCTGACACATGGTCAGGGTGGGGCAGCAGCCCAGGTGCCGGGCTCACTGAACTCCCCCATATACAGGCGTCCCGTGCGTCCTGTGCTCCTGCTGCTCTCCACCCCCAGACCCATGCAGAGGTGGGCATGTGTCGCTGGGGGTGGGTCTAAGCAGGTCATTGGAAAGAGCCTTTGGCACCAGAATTTGTTACAGGGGTGGGCGGCAGCTCTGCTCACAGGCCATGCCCCCTGTTGCAAGGGCAGGCAGTCTCTTGAGGACAGGAAGTGGTCCTTTGTGGCTGTCTGGAACCAGAAAAGTAGGTGGAGGAGACATCTGCACACCCTCCTGCCCTCCCCGAGTAGTGGGCAGCGCAGACGCTGTAACCACACCGGAGTATTGCCACGCAGCATCTCCGTGAAGGCCCTGCCGAGGGAGGAGGGTGGCAGAGCGTGTGGACCCCAGCTCCCGCCCCCGTGCATCCTGCCCCCACCGCACAGCGCTGTCCTCCCAGAGCCTGCTGTCCTACCAGGGTGTGGTCTTAATCCTGACCATCTCAGTCCCTTCAGTGTCCCCAAGGCATGACTTCAGGGGTCACCACCTTCCCAGCTGCTTTGTGATGTGCCTGCCCCAATGGGGTCTTCAGCAAGAAGGGCCCAGGGCTGGGCTGGTCAGGATGAGGGTGCACCCAACACCCCAGGGCCCCTCCGGAAGCCCAGAATAACTGCTGGGGCTTCCAAGACCAGCTTATGCAGGGTCCCGTGGGCCAGGAGAGAAGGAATCCCAGTCTGTGCAGTCCCCTAGGGGCTGAGGGCAGCTGGGGAGGTGTGTGGGCAGAGTGTGCATCCGCTGAGGCCCACACCGCCTCGCCCCGTCCCTCTGGTTCATGGAGGCAGCTGCTGAGGACCACAGGCCTGTTAGCTGCAATCGGGGCTCAGCCCACCCTGAGGGCCTGGGGTCCCGGCCTTCCTCTCACGGGGTGAGATGAGATGCAGGGCAGGCTCTCCCAGGACACACGGCCTGTGGCTGCTTAGAGCCGCCAACACTGCCCACCAGCCCAAGTGCCTGCCCAGGGGCTCCCCACGCAGAGGCCACCAGCAGTGCCCAAGCCTGGCTCCTATGCAGGGCTGGGCAGGGACGGAACCTGAGACATGTGCTCTCACTTTTCATTGCAGAGGAGCAGGGACATGGCGTCTCTCCGGTTGCACGCAGCCCGCCAGGGCGCCCGCTGCCGTCCCCAGCGCCCGCGACGCACCACCTACTGAGAGCCCCAGCGGCCTCTGACCGGGCTCTCAGCCACGCAGGCTGCCGCCAGCCACCAGGGCAGGTGGGTGTGAGGTGCCCAGGGCAAGCCACGCTGAGCAAGGGCTTGATGGAAGAACGTGGTTAGCCAGCCCACCGCGTAGCACACTGCCCGCCAACCAGAGGGCGAATAAACAGAAGGCAGGAACATCCTCTTTCTTAAGCACATGCACCAGTGAGCAGAAGTCACCAGCTGTGTCCCAGCTCAAGGCACACACAGCCCAGGGCTCCCCTGCAGGTTTCACAGACCAGCGCAGGCGCGCCGCCTGCGTACCCCTCTCTAGCACACGCTCCTACCCCTGCCACGTGAGTGCTCTGTGGCTGCTAAGCAACCCCCAGGTCGGCAGGGAATGTCCTGGAACAGACAGCACTGAGAAGGCTGATGAGGACCAGAGCCACTCTGTGACCGTCACCAGGTCATTTCTTAACAGAAGTGAGATTCAGGGCAGACAGACCACAGAGAACACAGCTCCACACGCTTGAAGGAAAGGGCTCCTCCTGGGCCTCCCCCACACGGGTTTACTTCCCCCCTTCCTCTCGGGTGGACACCGGGAGGGCTGGCCCGGGGCAGCTCCGCAGAGCCCGAGGGTGCAGGACGGGGCCCACGGCGGGGCCCACCTGCCAGCCTGTCCCTGCCCTGCCCGATTAAAGTCATGTTGTCTCCGAAGCGCGGGTTTCTAGGTCCTTGAGCACAGCGGGCTCAGGGCTGGGGGTCGGCAGGCTGGGCCCCTGGCGCAGACGGCTCGTAACCTCGAGGCTTGGCTTCACCGCAGATCAGCTTTGGAATGACACGGTTCCCACTCCACCACCTCCCCCGCAAAACACTGCTCAGGTGACGACCCGCCGACCAGGCCCCCGGAGCCGAGCGAGGGCCCCGCCTAAGCTAGTCCTGTTTGTGAAATAAATACGAGCGTTGCCAGTCTCCGTACCTGTTCCCTGTGCCCTGCCAGCCCGCCTGACCCTCACACACTGGTTTCCGGGGTGTGCACGACCTCCCCATTCCTCTCGGGCTCTGCTTTCAGGAAGTGCTCCACCTCCCGAGAGTCCACCCCCGTGTCCGCTGAGGGCTTGTGGAGCTTCTCTTCCTCTGCGGTGGCTGCCTTGGGTTGGGGCTCCCTGGGCCTCTTCCTGATGCAGAAGCAGTTGCCCAGCAGCAGCACCAGGGAGGAGGTGAGCACCTCGGTCCCCGCCAGGATGAACACGTACTTGTAGACGTGCGTTGCGTCCAGGAGCTTGCCTGCAAGAGGACCCAGTCACGCGCTCCGCGGGCAGGTGCGGCCGCTGGCCCCACCCAGGCTGTGTCCCCTTGGTCTCTTGACACTGGAGAAGCCTCCCTGCGGGTCCCCGTCTGCCTCCAAACTGAGGAGGACAGAAAGTGGTTTTCCCTACACCATGTGCGTCCCAGCCCGGGGAGGGGGGGTCCTCACTCGCTACTCCTTCCCCCTCCTCGTCTCCAGGGGAGCAGAGATTCAGTCTAAAAGTAGAAGTGGCTTTGAGGAGGGTTGGGGGCCTTGGTGGGTGGTGGAGTCAGCGCAGCCCTGTGTGGACAGCAAGGACCCGGGGACAGGGAGCGTCGAGTCGTGTGGCCTGGGGCTCCCTCCCACACCCTGGGACCCCCAGAGGCTGCAGGGTTGCCTGGGGAGACCCAGACCAGCATGTGAAGCGACTGCCGAGGGCAGCCCAGTCACCAAAGGCCAGACCTGTTCCCTCCAGTCAAAACCATTTTAAATTCCCCTCAAGTATTTTGTCAGTCTTCAAGAAGAAAAGGAAAAGCCCCAAGTAAAAAATCTGGCTGCCCTGGGCTGCCTGGTGTGCACCTGTCTGTGGGCCATGCTAGACCAAGCCCCCACCCGGTGACACCCGCGTCCCCAGCGCCCCTCCAGCTCTGAGGCCCCTGCGGGGAGATGGCTGTGTCCCTCACCTCCAAGCAGGGGAGTGGTGGGAAGGGCCCCGGCTCTACACTCACCTCCCGATGGCGGCCCGATGAGCACGGCCACCGCCTCCAGCAGCAGCACGAGGCCAATGGCGCTGGAGAACTTGGAGGTGCCCACGATGGCCATGAGCACCTCAAACTGCAGGGCCCCCACCATGCCGTAGGAGATGCCGAAGAAGATGCAGAAGACCACCAGGCCGCCGTAGTCGCTGGCCGTGGAGCCCGTGAGGTCGGTGAAGCCGTTGAAGAACATGGCGAAGCTGAAGAGGTAGACGGAGTAGGGCCGCACCTTCTTGAGCCCCGTGAGGAAGCCAGCGGCAGGCCGCGCAAAGATGTCGATGAAGCCCAGGATGGTGAGCAGGAAGGCGGCCTGCGTGTCGGGGACTTTCATGTCTTTGGCGTAGCTCACCACAAACACAGGTGGCACGAAGAGCCCCAGCACCATGATGGAGGCGGCTGCCGCGTAGAGCACGAAGCCGCGGTCCCGGAAGACGCTCAGGTCCAGCAGGCGCCGCGAGGGCAGCTGGGGCCCTGACCCCGCGCCTGGCTGGGACGCCACCAGAGGCCTCATGAGCGCAGCGCACACACAGCAGTTGAGCAGCAGGCCGCCCAGGATGAGGAAGCCGCCCCGCCAGCCGTAGCTGTCCTGCAGCAGCTGCCCCAACGGGGACAGGGCACACAGGAACACGGGGCTGCCCGCTGCTGCCAGCCCGTTGGCCATGGGGCGCCGCTTGTTAAAGTAACGGTTGAGCATGATCAGCGAGGGCTGGAAGTTGAGCGCCAAACCCAAGCCTGGAGGAGAGGGGGCCACAGGTGAGACCCCCGCCCTGCTCGAGGCCACTGTCTATGTCCCCAGCTTCTCCCAGGCACAGGCCCAGAGTGCGGAGCCCCTGCTGCTGAGGCCCTCGGGAGACGCCCCTCCCAGCACCCGGCGCCCCGCCGGACTCCACTCACTCACCAGTGATGACCCCGGTGGTGAGGTAGACCTGGATGATGCTCGTGCAGAAGGACGCGGCCACCATGCCCAGGGACGCGAAGAGGCCACCCACCAACATGACAGGGCGGCAACCAAAGCGGTTCACACACACGCTGCACAGTGGGCCTGGAGGGGGAGGGGGGACATGCCCGGGGGTCAGGGCTGGCCCAGGCCCACAGCCGGGCTCTGCCTTCTCCACAGCCTAAGCTGGGCAGGTGCTCCAGAGCCCGCAGACCAGGCTCCCCGAGTGCAGACTGCGCAGACATGTCCTGAGCAGAGCGGAATCCCCCGCAGGAGGCCCTCCCCGCAGGAGGCCCTCCCCGCAGGAGGCCCTGGAGAATTGGCTGTCTTTGAAGACCGGCGCGTGGAGCCTCGCCCCCTGGGACTGTCTATAAATACGCCCGGCCCGCTGGGTTTGCCTGTGCCGTCTCGGCGGGGCCTCTCTTGAGGGCCTCCCTCCAGGATCCCCGCGGACCTGGGCAACAGGCCCAAGCACGCCGGGGCTCCCGTGGCCTGGCTGGCCTTGCGCTGAGCACGCCAGGCAGGGGCCAGCCCTCACCTGTCCCGTAGAGCATGGCCAGCAGGATGGAGGAGATCCAGGCTGTGTCGCTGTAGCCAATCCCGAACTCGTGCATGAGCTCTTTGAAGAAGACGCTGACGGCCTTGGGGAAGGCGTAGGAGAAGCCGGTGATGACGAAACAGCCGAAGAGGACAGCCCAGCCCCAGCCTCCGTCAGGGGCCCTGATGCCCGTGGGACCCTCGTCAACCACGGCTCCTCCCATGGCCAGGAGGGCTGGCTCGCCTCACCTGAGAGAGAGGAAGGAGCTGACTTGGCTGTCCAGGTGCTCACCGTGGCCGCAGCCCACACCTGGGGGTTGGCTCAGAGCCCTCCACCTCTGGCCCCCTTCCCTCGCGCTTGGTGCAGGGCAGGAGGGTTGGGGGCCGGCAATTGGGCCCTGTCCAGCCCCTGCCCGGCCTCCTGTGCCCACATAGCTGGCTCTAAAGGGCAGTGGCTTTTTTGGGCTCAGCCTGGATTCAGGTTACCTCCAGGGAAGGCAGCCCCCAGCAGGGACGTCGTCTGGCTGCACTTGCTGCCCTGACCGGTCCTGTGATTCTGGCAGCAGCCTGCACTCCCGTCCCCCCGGAGCACCCGGGCTGGTATCTCCAGACTCTTCCTGTCTCAACCCAGTTGGAGCCCACCACGCCTTGCGCTCCCGCCCCCGCCCCCAGGGGAATGGGCTCCCCAGCCAAGAACCTGAAGCCCAGGAAGGAAAGCTCACCCGCTGCATGGGCTGAGCACGAGGGATGAGGTGGGGGCCGTTGGGAGCACAGAGGCTGAGTCATCTGTGGGTGGGGAGGGTGGGGCTGAGAGCCGGCCACTTGTCCCCTCCGGCCCTCGGAGGACCCCCTCACCCGCCTGCTCCCTCACCGACTCTCCCTGGGTAGAGCCTCACAGCCTCACCTCCACCCCGCATCATGCACAGGCCACAGGGAGGGTCCCCCAGTCCCCCAGAGCAAACTGTCGCAGCTCCCATGATACAAGGAGGGGCCCCCCAAACCCCATGCGAGCCCAGAGCGCGAGTCCCTTTCTGTAAACTCCAGGTGCTTAGCTCACTTGAGCCAGCATAGGCTGGAACGCCGGGGCCAGACTCCCATCTTCCCCCACCCCCACCTGGGACCCCCGACCCAGAGGTCAGCCTTCGGCCTCCTGCCCTGCTTCACCAAGGACAGTGCCAGGACAGAGTCCCAAGACCTGGGGTGGTTTGGTCCAGCCCGCGCAGCCTGCTCACCAGTGGTGTGCTGTGAACCAGCTCTTTGGGGAGAAGCAAGCTCTGGTGTGTAACGTCCGCGGGTTCCGTGGCGTGAACACCGCCCTACAGCCAATGCCTAAGAACTCCCAACACTCCCTCCCCACCCAGCCGCCTCCGGCTTGCAGCCAGGAGCACTGGCCCTCAGTTTCATAACCTGTCTTGGCTCCACCCCTGCCCTTTTTCCCCGGGATCCCTCCTGCAAACGTGACCAGAGACCCCGACCTAGCAGAGCCCTGTGGGTGGCCGTCTTTGCATCCAAGGTGTGTGTGTAACCCGAGGACAGGGCTCTGCTGGGGGAGTCTGAGCACAGTTCGGTGTGAAAGGCTCCTGCCAACACTGCCTCAGCCCCTCTGCATCCAGCCTGCCCGTCCGCCCCACCACAGGCGCTGCCCCCCCAGGTGCCCTGATCCACACAGTGGTCTGGGGGCTGTTTTCTGAGCGCTTCCTGAGTGTTCCAAGCAGTTGCTGCTAGTGCTGCTTGATGACCGGACCCCCAGGGACTGACCTTTGCTGTCAGGGTGATGACAAGACAGACAGACACAGCCCCCTGGAGGAGAACAGCTCGCCCCCGACCCCGCAGGCAGGGGCCCACCTTCAGAGCCTGTGTGGGTTTCCAGGGGCCGGGGCTGGGAGGCCACTTCTGAGACCCGTGCCTGAGAAGCCCTTGCTTCCGCCTGCCCAGAGCCCGTCCCCCGTCGCCCCTGGTGGAGCCTGGGATGGGACAGGACTGTCCTCCCACAGCCAACACGCTGAGGGGGGCACGGAGCATCTGCTCACATCTCGTCCACGTTAGAATTAAGTTCCGAGTCCCCAAGATTTTATACAGTGGGTAACAAAAACACTGAAAATTGTGTGCACGTCAGGAACGCGCTATGATGCAGTGACGCTGAGAAAGCAGGCGTTGTCCTGGCTCCCAGCTGGTTTTAGGTGGTGGGTTTACAGGTGTTTATTGCACTTTTTAAAGTAAATCAAGCGGGCCGTGTGAGGCCGAGGATACCACTCAGGGTTTCCCTCCAACAAGTGGGAAGAGCAGATCTCTGAGGCTCTCCTGGCTGCACCGGCAGGGCTGGTGGGGGGAATAGGCACCCCACCTTTGTGAAGTCCTCATCCCTTTGCCACTGGCCACCCAGGTCGTGCCCTCCCTGGAGGCAGGCGAGGGTATCTGGGGAGGCAGGAGACGTCGGCCACCCTCAGGAGACACAATGCCCCCTGAACCCAGGGTTGGGGAGGACGGCAGAGGGTTGGGGTGGTGCCAGGACTCAGGCCGGGAGGGTGTAGCCTGTTCTGGGACCTGCGTGGCCTTGGTGCTGCCGCATAAGACTCTTGTAGGGAGGGTGGTCTTCTGTGTCAAGGAGGTGAGTAGCATTTGGACAAGAAGCCCCCAGACTAAGGCCCAGCACGGCCACCTGTCCCCGCCGGGCCTGGTGTGTGAGCCCCACTTCAGTGCCCACCCCCCACCCCCCAGCCTGTTTCTGGGGGCTGACTTCAAGCCAGCTGTCTGCCCAATGGCTTAGGGTTGTCGGGGATAGGGAAGGTGTGTGAAATGGCAGGCCACCGTCCCCACCTCCCAGTGTAACCCTGGCATCCAGACAGGCCGAGGGGCAGGGTGGCTGGTGTTCCAAGGGAAGCCCTGTGGCTGCCTTGTTTAGGCCCAGAGCAGAAGAGGCACCCACCGTGGTCCACCATGCGTGGACTTGGGGGGCTTGGCGTGTGAACCAGCCCAAAAATAACCTGGACTCTGGCCCACAGATAGCTGATATCCCAGGTGGGGTACTTGGGAGAGCTGGTCCCCCAAAGTCCGCAAGGGCCCTAGGACCCCAGGCTGCTGGCAGCTGAGCAGGGGAGGTCCATGGTGGGGGTGCACGGGAGTCCTTGGAATGACCCTTCCAGGAGGTCCCCCACCTGAGGGCCCAGTGTCCGTCCCAAACCAGGGGCTCCTGCCAAGCAGCTCCCTCAAGGGTCTGCTGGGGTCCCAGCCCCCAGGCCTGGGCTCCTACCCGGTCAGGCCCTGCACTCTGCGGCACCACTTGTCTCCCTCTGCCTGCACTCACTCTGGACAGCCTGCTCCTCCGTGGTCGGGGACCAGTGCTGAGCCCTGGAGCCTGTGGCCTGTTATCTAACTGACTTCCTGTCCTTGGAGGGACAGCCTTGGCCCAGCCTTTGTGGCCCAGGCAGGAGGCAGGGCAGGACCCAGCACATCGGGACCAAGGCAACAGCCCTGCGGTGGCCAGTGCCGGGCCAGCAAGGGTGGGAGAGGCCCAGAGGGCCGCACGCCGGGAGGGGCCTCCCTGAGTTCCGTTCACTCCTTCCCGTCTGCCCCTGTTATGCAAACATCAGCCAGCCCGCCAGAGGCCAGCACACCTCAGCCCCACCCACCTGCATGCAGAGGCGGGGGCAGTGCGGGGGCTTTTCTGGGAAGGGGCCTGTCCTGGGCCTGATGGCGGCCAGCTATGCTTGGACCCTCCTCACTGCCCGGCAGCCCCAGCACTCGCTGCAGCGGTCCTGTGAGCTCAGGTCACCCACAGGGGCCAGATGACACTTGGGCCCAGGGCCAGCCGCCCACCCAGAGCCACAGCCATGGCTAGGACCCCCAGGCGTGCCCCACACCAAGGATGGCGGGGCCTGTGACAAGGGGAAGGCTGGCTGTGCCCCAAGCAGGCGTCAACCCTTAGCTGCCACCCAGCATGTGGCCCTGGGGATGTTTTGGGGCCTGCTGTTGGAACCCCTCTCTCTGCATGGCTGCGGTCAGTGCCCTGGGGCCAGAGGCAGTGGAGGACACCTCAGCCCACTCCTCGACTCCCTCGCAGCCCCCCTGGACTGAGGCAGGCTCTGGGGCCGCATGGCATGGCGCCTCCCTCCGCCACCGCCAGTCTCAGACTCAGTGGGGTAGCGGGTAGGGTGGAAAAGGAGAGAGCAGAAAGGCTGGGCCAAGGAGGGGAGACCCCCGGGCAGGGAGGCTGGGCCCAGGAAGGGACCCCCAGGGCAGGAAGTCTGGGGGGGGGCGGGGGGGAGCGGGTCCTGGGCAGGGAGGGGGGATGAGCACTGGTTCCTGCTTCCCAGCCCTGGATGGGGGTGTGGAGACGGTGGTGGTCGGGCAGGCCGTGGTGGGCGTGGGGAGGAGAGGATGCCCCGCCTGGCCGGCGGTGGGACGTGGGGGACGTGACCACACCAAGGGAGGAGCCGCCGCCGTATTGCCTGCAGTAGGCGCCACCCATTACCGTATTTGCCTGGTGAGCTGGGCTCCACCGCTGCCCCGCACACCGCGGCAGGGGACCCCTCATCCTGGCCCGGGGCTCCCCAGGGCAGGGCCTGCTTCATTGGCCACAGAGGTGGGACCTGTGGGCGCGGCTCAGGGCTTGGGAACCCGGAAGGCCAGGTGGGTCCATGCTCTGGGGCTCTCAAGCAGCTCCCTTCACGAATGGGACTGAGGTGGGGAGTTCTGTGCTCCAGTGGGCACCCGAGGTGAGGCTGTGAGGACGCCCCAGCCCTGTCTGCTCCCGCCCCACCCCTGCGCCAGGGACCAGTGCCCGGTGCCAGGGGCACCTCTGATGGATCCAAGCCACCACCCAGAAGGGGCGCCCTGGGGCCCTGGGTGTTGCCCACGCTTGGTTCCTCACCCCAAGGGGGTGGCACTGGCCCTTCCCTCCCACATGGCCAGGTCACTGCAGGACCCACTGTGGAGCCATGGTCACTGTAGGCCAGAGGGTGGGACCCCGCAGGCCCCTCCACGTACATACACTCCTTGACCACCGCTCTCTCGTTGCTGCCCCTCCAAACTGAGGTGCGCGTGCTCCAGTCTGTGAGCCTTCTGGGTGGCAGGCCCTGCCCAAGGTCACACCAGGTCGTTGCCCAGCCTGCCTTGGGACCAGGCCTCCAGCCCACCCTAGTCTCTATCCACACCACGGAGCCCTGAAACTCACACCTGCCGGGCAGTGCCCTCAGAACCCCTCTGGGGTCGGACCCCCGGTGCCTTCCTAGCACCCCTCAGTCCCTGCCCACCCTGAGCCCAGCCTCCCCACTGCCTCGGGGACTGCCCTGTCCCTCCCAGCACCAGCCAGACTCCAGGCACCTCTTGGGCCTGTGGAATGAAGCTAGGGACCCAGGACACCCCCAACACACGCAACACCCACCCCTACTCTCAGCTGTGGCGGGGAGGCGTGGAGGGGGCCCCCCTGCCCTTGCTGTCCACGCCCGCCCAGCAGGCTGACGGGTCATCACTGGGACAGTGATCCTGTGAGCCAGGTGCCCTGAACAGGCAGCTGAGTGCCTCTGGGACACAGAGGAGGACACTGGCCCCTCAGCCGCCCCTCTGTCCCACACCCAGACTCCAGGCACCCCCAGTGGCCATGCCGGAGCCAGGGCTTCCCTTCCCTCTCGTTTGGTCCAGCATCCAGTTAGGTGCCTCATCAACCCACTTTCCAGATAAGGAAACTGAGGCCTAGGTCTGTAAGTGAGAGCCCATCTGAGTTTCCGCCTGATTTTCCCATGAGCTAGGCAGCTGTGGGGGGCGGCTAGAGCGAACCCGGGGAGTCCAGCCTGTCCCAGAGGGGTTCCCCCACCTCTGTGCACTGGACCTGGGCTGTTGGCTGGCGCCGGAGGGTGTGGGTTGGTGAGTGTTCAGGGCGGCGGCGAGAAGGGAGAAGAGGTAGAAGGGAGAAGAGGTGGGAGAGGACTGCCGGAGGGTACCTGCTCCCCAGCGCCACGCCAGTGCGCACGTGCTCCCCACTCCCTCGGGGAGGCGACCTGGACGGCGCCGGGCGGGGTGGGGGCCCGCAGCCCCACCAAATATAGCCCGCGCGCCCGGCCGCCCTCCGCTGCGGACTGAGCTATTTATACCCAGGACCATACCCGAGACCGGACGCCTGGCGCGGCCACCTCCTGGCCCAAGCCCAGCCCCTAAAGGCCGCCCGACGGATGGGCGCCCGGGCAGGCCCGGGGACGCGAAGCTGGGCTGCCGGGGTTCGAGGGCGCCAGGGGGCGCGGCTGGCTCCCCGCAGCCCTTCGGTGGGAGCTGCAGGGAGCGAGAGGCTCGTGCGTGCCCAGGGCGCCCCCGACCCTGACGGGCCCGGAGGGGAAGGGGCAGGGGGACGAGAGGGAGGACCCCGCGGCCGCCCCCACGCCGCCCTGGCCTGCGCATCCGGGCCGCGCCTACCTGCCTCCGCTCGGCCGCCGCGCCCGCCGCGCCCGCCTCGGCTGCCGGGCGCCGCGCCGGGGGCGACTTTAAGTGCTCCGGTCGCTCGCGCGGCACGTCCCCCGCGCACGTCACTGCCGCCCGGCGCCGCCCCTGCGCGCCGCTGCCAGCCCGGCCCCTGCTCCCCGACGGCGCGGCCCGCCGCCTGCTGCCCCGCCAGGCCCGGGACCCCCGGCCGAGAGACGCGCCTCTCCGCCGGCCAGTCCCGGCCCTCCGCGCCCGGGGGGCCTCGCCTCCGCCAGGCGCTGGGCTGGGAGTCCGGGGCGCCCCGCCGCTCCGCTTCCCGGCCGGGGTCGCCGCCCCCATCTTCCCAGGCTCGGGTTGGAGCGCGGCCGGTCCTCGCGTCCTCCGGGGCGGTGACCCTCGCCCCACAACGCCTGGGCCGCGCCCTGGACACGTGGGCGCGCGCACCCACCGGCACGCCACCCGGCGCGCGTCCGCGGACCCGGGGGCTTCCCGCCGCCCGGCTCAGCTCTGGGCCCCCAGCCAGACCTCCTCTTCCTTCCTGCGCTGTGCCGGCAGCTTCTCCTGGGTCGGGAGCGGCGGCCTGGTGCCCCCGATTTGCGCCGAGGCCTCGCCCTCTCTGAACTTCCGTTTCCCCGGGTGTCTCTGCGCTCTGACCTTAACCTGCCCGGCCGCCCCTCCTATCCTGTGGCCCAGAACCGGAGCAGCCCCCCACCGCGCCGCTGGCCCCACCGCAGAGAGAGGGTGCTTCAGAGCCAGAGGAGAGTGCAGGCCTCCGGTCCTTGGCAAGGTGCTTCGTGGTGCCCCATTTTTCTCATCCACAGCATGGAAATACCCGGGCACTCGGTGCTAAGTTGTGAGGAGGCTCCGGGGCCCGCGGCCTGGACCAAGCACAGCACTTGTCAGCGCCGGGCAGACAGGGCTTCGGGGACACTTTCCAACTAGCTGGCTTCTAAGCGACACTCCACGTCTCCTGGGGCTAAAGAGGCCGAGGTATCGGTAACTCCGGGCTTTAGCACGGAGATCCCAACAGGCCGAGGATTGGGGGAGCACAGTGAGAATCAGCGGAGGACCCCCCTCCAGAGGGCTGGGAGGCGTGCCCACCCGTTAGCTTTTGTAAAGGCAGCAGGTGGTGTGGGCCTCGGCCCCGAGGGACCATCTGGAGCCCCGACCTTCCGAGATGCCAAGTTCAGCAAGGCCTTCTGCTCTTTCTACTGGGTGCTGAAAGCCCACCCCCCACAGCCCCTCCCCCTCAAAAGAGCCTTGGTACTCACCCACCCTCAAATGCTAAAGAAATCACGATGTAAGCATGCGCTTGGACAAGGTCCCCTGGCCTCCAGCAAGTGGCCTGGGGGCCTTGGACTTGGTGGGTGAAGACGACACTTAGTTGGCCTCTGCCTGCCCAGGACAAGCAGCTGAACCCCCTGGGATGTAGGGTCTCCCTGGGATCCTGGCAGCCCAGCCTGGCTTCAGCTGCTGCCCTTCTATTCTCTTCCCCAGAGGCTGGGGCTACACTCGATGGGGAGGGTAACAGAGGGTGGGGAACACTTCCAAGAGCTGCAGAAAGGAATCTCCCCCACGAAGGATTTCCTGTCTCTGGGAGGTGGGGGCATCACCCTCTTCAACTCAGATTATTTAGTTACTGGGCCTGCCAGCTCTGCTGGGGTGGGGGGGTTAGCAGCTGAAGCCGCCAGCACGTCCTCCACGTTGCCTGGGGCTTGGGAGCTGGCCCACACCCCTCCCTGGGGACTGCAGATTCCTGGCAGGCAGGACCCCCCTCAGCCCACCCCTGACCAAAGAGCTCAGAGCTCCATCAAGGGGAGGAAGACGGAGTGAGGTCCCAGGGTCTCACTGCCCCTCCTGCCTCCCAGAGGCTGAGCAGGGCGCCCCCGCCCGGGCCAGGTCTTCTTCAGCTCTGAGACCTGGGAGGACCCCACACACCCCTTACAGGAGCCGAGAGCATGTGGGGTTTGGCCCAGACCTGGCACCCCCCTCAGGCATGCTCCTCCCTGAGTGTGGGCCCAAGGACCACCCTGGCTGCACCCAGAGCTGGGGTGGGGTCGCTCCCTGCCCTCCTAGGGCGCGGTGGGGACAGGCCCATCAGCTCAGGCTTCCCCGCACCCACCCATCAAGCAGAGGTCAAGGCTGTGGGTTTTGCTGAGGGTGGGGCTGGAAGACCAAAGCGGGGGGCAGAGTGATGGCTGTTGGGGGGCGGTGCTGCGTGAGAAACAACTTGTTAATAAGAGAAAAGGCAAGGGAGGGGTTGGCAGGCAGAGGCCAGCCTGGGACAGCTCACGCCAGGGCCTCATCCTGAACCAGGCTCCGGTGGGGGGCAGGGAGCCATCTCCGAGCCCCTGGCAGCCCTGTAGCGTGAAGGGCCCTTAGCTCCGAGGGCTTGGCTTTTAGAAAGGTCCCCCTGGGGCCCACACTGGGCGAAATTCCAGGCCCTGCCCGGGGACCCGGGTCTTAGGCGTCGAGGCTGCATCTGACACAGCCCCATGGGGCATGTGGGTGTGGAGTGCGCTCTGCCTCCGTTTCCAGAACTGATCTTGGGAATGTGGAGAGGCTTTTCTGAGGGTTGCTGCAGCTGCCGCCCCCAGGAGGGTGGCAAGACAGGCCTCCACTCCTATCGGGGCTAGATTTCAGGCCCCAGGGAACCCCCACATCCTGGGCCCTTGGAAACCCCCCACTTTCCAGATTTCAGCTGGGTCATCCTGTTCTGCCCAAGCCTGGCTGTACCACCCAGCAGCAGCTGCCACCCCCTGGGCAGGATCGGGCCAGGCCAGGCCAGGTCACAGGAAGGTACATTCCGGCCAAGCCACGGCCCCGCCGCCCGGGATCACCAGCTGCCTTAGGACTCCCTGTCTAGGGGAGCTGGTGACACAACTGTCACAGCCTATCACTCCACACCTGTGCCCACACCTTCCCCCCTTCCCCAGGCCGAAGGATGTGTGGAGGGACCACCCAGGATGGAGGGGAGACGCAGCTATGACAGAGGCTGGCAGGTGCCCCCTGCTGGAGCGGAGCCTGGGCCAAGGACCCCAGGAATCTGTCCAGGCTCCCAGAAAAATAAACATTTTAACCTGGCAGCTGCCCAGCCTTCCCAGTGAGCAGCAGCACGGACAGTGGGCAGAGGCAGAAAAGGGCTGGAAAAGGCCAGACCTTGGCCCAGCCAAACATGACCAATGTGCACTGCTGCCCAATGGCACATGTTGGTCAATGGGTGCTGGATGTGGGTGTGCAGGGGTGTGGGTGTGCAGGGGTGCGGGTGTGCAGGGTGCTTGTGTGCAGGGGTGTGGGTGTGCAGGGGTGCGGGTGTGCAGGGGTAGGGTTGTGCAGGGGTGGGGTGTGCAGGGGTGTGGGTGTGCAGGGGCGGGCTGTGCAGGGGTGCGGGTGTGCAGGGATGCGGGTGTGCAGGGGTGGGGTGTGCAGGGGTGTGGGTGTGCAGGGGTGGGGTGTGCAGGGGTGTGGGGTGTGCAGGGGTGTGGGTGTGGGTGTGTGTGGGCTGATGCGTAGTCTGATGGTAGCAGCTTTCCTGGGCCAGCCTGGTCTTCTCCTCGGTGGCCTCTGGCCCTTGTCGCCAGGAGACAGAACTGAGGCAGGGCTGGTGCTGCTAGGATGTTCGGAACTGGAGGCCAGCAGGGTCGCTGAGCGGTCATTCCCAAGGTCTGGCAAGTGGGGCGAAGAAGTGTGGGACCTCTCTGGACCTCAGTCCCCTGCTCTGTGGAGTGAGTTTGGCAAATCCCGCCTCACGGGTCTTGGGAGGTGTAAAAGCTCTGGTCCTCACCTGTGGGTGGGTCCTCCCCCCTTGGCCACCCCGAGAAACTTCACAGTCCTTCCCGCACCGGATCGAGAAGCTCCATTTTCTTCCATCCGTCCAGCGCCATCGTCCTGCCAGGGGGATGATGGCTGGGCCCAGGCAGGGGCTCCCATGTCGGATTCCAGGTTCCTCACCCCTCCCTGCACCTCCACCTGCCCCCTGCCCTGGCTCCGTCCTCGGGTCGTGTGGGGCTGTGTCCTGGCCCCCGATGGCCTGGCCGGGCCTCTCCCCACCTGCCCCGGTGCCCTCAGCTGAGCTCCGTGTGGACAGGCATGTGTGGTGCTCGCAAGTGAGTCCCCCATCTGCCCCGGGGAACTTATTAGGGTCCCAGGCTCTGCCCAAGGGTCACTTCTCTGCCTGGGAGGGCTTGCACACCTTGGTGCAGGTCCCTTCACGACCTGGGACTGCGCTTGGGGGCTCTCGTTTGGGGAAGGAGGAGACGGAGGCTCGGGGGGCAGCGTGTGCAGCCGCAGCCCCCTGAACACGCCCGGCCTCGTCCCGTCTCGGGAGCTAAGCGGGGTCGGGCCTGGTTAGTACCTGGGCGGGAGAGAGGCAGGACTCAACCACAGACCTGGCTTGGCCGTGGCCTTCCCTGTGGGCAGGGAGGGGGTTCCGGCCCCGCTGGTGCGGCCTGCATGGCCGTCGGGGGTGAAAGCCTGGGGGTGTCCAGCACGGCAGCCTCCTCCTGACCTGGCCAGGCCATGAGGCTCCGGCGACTCTTCTGTCGGCCTCCCTCCGGCCTCCGTGCCTAGCACGTGTGCTGCCCTCTTCCTGGGCACCTGGGGGCACCGAGGGCTTGACCGGTCAGCTCTGGACCCCAGGGGGGCTGGTGAGACGGCCGTGGCTCCCAGACCTTTTGTTACCCCAGTGAGGACGACCAGGTGGGACAGGGCACTGGCAGCTCAGGGGCCAGGTTCACTGGGAGACTCCCAGGCAGGCTCTGTGCATGGCTGTCCCTTCTGCACAGCCCTGTCGAAGCTGCGGTGCTCCCAGTCTTGGCTCTGGGGCAGGAGCTGGGCCTGGGGAGACAGGTGACTGGTGTCCAGGTGCTTCCTGAGCCCCAAAGACTTGGAAACTGTATTAGTTTTCTGCTGCTACATGAGAAGCCGTCCTAACTTAAAACAACAAGCCTTTATTGCTCGATCATCGCACACGGTGTCTGAGGGTCAGGAATCGGAGTGGCTGCGCGGGGCAGTTAGGCTCAGAGGGCTGCGTCAGGTGCCAGCCAGGCGGCATCATCTGAAGGTCCAGCTGGGGCCGCAGGAGCTGCCTCCGCCGCGCTCCTCGTGGCCGGGGGCAGGAGGCCTCGTTCCCGCCACGCTGGCTGCTGGGACGGCTGCTTGAGTGTCCTCACGGCACGGCCGCTGGCTTCCCAGAGCGGAAAACCAAGAGAGCAAAGCCCAGAAGTCGAGACCATCACTTCCACCCCTTCCTGTTAGTCCCCAGGTCCAGCCCAGGCCCCACCTTCTGAAGGGAGGAGAAGCAAAGAGTTTGGAGGCTCCGGAGGAGGCCCCCAACCCCCACCCTTGGCCCTAGGAGGAAAGGGTCGGGGTAGAAGCCGTGGGACCAGACAGAGCTGCTGTCAGGGCCACACCCACAACCTCTGGGTCCCGGGGGAGGCTCTGCTCCTCCCCAGCCCAGGAGCCTCCAGGCCACAGCCCTTCCGGGCAGACCTCAGCCCACCGGGAGGAGCCGGAGGGCGCACACAGCCCGGCGACCTGGGGCAGCCCGGCGACCTGGGGCTGCCCTGCAGAGGCACCAGCTGCAGCCTGTCCACCTGTTCGGCACACAGGACGCAGCCACGGGGGCCGCCCCACCCCGCGCCCCCAGGCCACTCCTGGGAGCTGAGGAGCCACTCGAGGCGCGGAGCCAGGGGCCCAGGCTCGGCAGCTCTGCTCACGTGGCCTCAGGGAGCAGCCTGGAGCGGAAGGACGCTGCGGTCTCCCCCGTTCTGCATGGCCAGTCGTGTCTGAACCTCAGGTGCGAAGCAGGGCGCAGGCTCGATGCGCAGCAGGACCACGTTCTTGTCCACAGAGAAACATGCACAGACGGAGCAGGACACGCCTCACACGGATCAGGCTAGGCACAGCACATTTCTCCTCGACACGCTCCGGAATCTCCCGCTTTTCCACAGGGACTACGGACTACCTGTTCACGCCTCTTTTTCACGGGGGTGAGATCCACGGGTCATATGGTTACCGCAGAGTGAGCAGCTCTGGCACCGTGGCCTTCACGGGGTTGTGCAACCACCGCTCTCTCGTTTCAAAACATTTTCATCACCCCATAAAAACATCCTGCCCCGATTAAGTAATCACTCCCTGCCCTCCCCATCCCCGTCACCCCTCTGCTCCCTGTCTCTGTGGACCTGCCTCATCTGGGCATTTTAACAGACAGAATCGTGTGGCACGTGGCCTTTGTGACTGGCTTCCTTCACTGAGAACGTCACTGATGTTGTCCTCGCGGCAGGACACATCAGCTCCTCTTCCTCCGCGTGCCTAGCACCGTGGACAGACCACACTGTGTTACCACCCGTCTGCTGGTGGACTTTTTTTTTTTTTTGAGACAGAGTCTCACTCTGTTGCCCGGGCTAGAGTGCGATGGTGTCAGCTCAGCTCATAGCAACCTCCAACTCCTGGGCTCAAGCGATCCTCCTGCCTCAGCCTCCTGAGCAGCTGGGACTACAGGCTCGCACCACCACGCCAGCCCGTTGTTGCATTTAGAGTTGGCTTTTGCCGTGGTGTGAGACGGGAGTCTGACTTCATTCTTTCGCACGTGGCCATCCAGGCGTGTCTGCACCATTTGCGGAAATCACAATGACACGCGTGTGATCAGCCTGCTCCCGTGTTTACACTGGGGTGGGCCTTACGGGGCGGGGGCCTCCCTGTGGGGACAGAAGTTGCCTGGGACCCCCTTCCTACTCCTGGGGGGAGTGGAGCCCTACCCTAGCCCTCGTACCCCACACTCAAGCTCGGGGCCCAGGGGCAGGGAGCAGGAGGCAGCCTCGCCCGGGCACCGGGAGAGGGAGGAGCAGCTGGCCCAGGCCCAACCAACGGAGACGCAAGCCGGCTTGGCAGCAGGTTGGGCAGGTGGTCTGTTGGGTGGGGACACCGCCCTGTCCTCTGGGCTTAGCTTTTGGGCCTGGAGGCTGGACAGGGAGTGCCCCTGAGAGTTTGGGTTCCCCGGCCCTGTGGCTCCAGGGCCCCGGGTGCCGTGTTTCCCCTTGCTCCAGGCCACCTGCCTGCGGCCTGCCCCTGCCCCATCCTGAGCTTCCTCTGCCTCCTTGAGCCCGTCTAGGTCCTGGGTTTGCCGTGGGGGTGGGGCCCGTGCTTCCCTCACGCTCCCTGCACCCCTGCCCCATCCGCCCCCCCACCTCCTGGGCCCACACCCTCCAGGTCCCAGGGACCCTGCGGCCGTCCCTCTCTTCTCCGCTGCCCACAGGCCTGTCCTTCCTCACGCCCCCCAGGCTCGGGGGCGGTGGGCTGTCACCTGCCCTTCCGTCACCTCTGTCCCCATCTACAGAGTCGAGGTGACCACAGGCGGGCCCAGGGCATCCCAGCAGGACTGGTGGCCGTCAGCACCCCGGGAGGCCCAGGGAACAGGCCTGCTGGTGGCGACCGCACAAGGAGCCTCCCCTGAGGGTGGCCAAGTGGTCCCTGCTCTCCAGGGGAGACGCGTGGGGACAGCTGCGGACGTCTCAGAGCCCCACACAGCACAGACTGCTCATCAGGCCCACCACGTCGGGGCACGAGGGGCCCTGCCAGGCGCCTGACAAATACGCACTGCTTGGCGCTCCTGCCTGGCTCCGGCCCCGCCCCCACGCCCAGCAGCCACTTGGACCTCACCGCAGGGCGCTGCTGCCCGCGAGGCCCATCCTTGCACCAGGCTCTCCGCGCTTTCTCGCATCTCCCGACCACGCGTGTGGCCGTCCCTGCTCCTCTGCTCTCCAGCCACACCTACCCAAGGGTGGCCTGGTCCACTCTCGCAGCCCTCGAGGAATCCTCTCGTGGGGAGCCCCGACATGTCCCAAGCCCAGGCCCCTGCGGTCCCAAGCCCAGGCCCCTGCGGTCCCAAGCGGGGCTGCTCCATCCCCGCACCCCAGGTCCCGTGGTGGGCCCCTCTTCCCCTTGATCCATCGCCCCCATGTCCAGGCTCCTTGAGCCCCAGCCCCGCCCAGAGGCTGACAGAGCCTCCACCGTCCTTGTGTCCCGCCCAGCCACCCAGAGCCTGGAGCAGAACCTGCGCAGGCGAGTGACGCCATCCAGAAACAGCCCTCCCACCTGCGCCCTAACGCACTGGCCGCAGGACCATCCTCCCTCCTTGTCTTGCCAGCCCAGGGGGCGTCCCCAGGGCCGCCACCCGGCCCCACCCACATGCTCTGGCAGCACCTTGCCCCCTCAGGGCCCCGTGCACCTGCTGAGGTGGCCTCAGTCTCCTGCAGCGCCCAGGCTACCCCATAATCTCAACCTGGAGCACCCCTGGCCGAAGGGGCACAGGTCATGACTGTGGCCTCACGCAGGGCCTGGCACACGGGGGCACCTGAAAGTCCTCCTGGGGTATCCTCGGCCTTCACCAGCCCAGATTTGAGGGCTGAGGACAGCGGCCGGGCTGTGGCTGGGGGGCCAGGGAGGGGGCCGGGCTGCGAGCCGAGCTCTGTGCCGCCCCCCAGGGAGGCCAGGCCTTGCCCAACCTTCCTGCGCTGCGGAACCGCAGGCCCCACCCCCCGCCCCGTGACTCAGCACTGAGGGTTCTCGGAGCGTCATCCTGGGGGGCTGTGGGGAGGGGAGTGGGGTGTGGGGGCTGCAGCTTCGGACAGTGCCATCCCCGGCCCCCCACAGCAACGCTGGCTTATGGGCCAGCATTTCTGCATGGTGTGGGGGGCCGGGGAGGTGCTCGGGGAGGCCGGGGGCCAGCCTCGTAGCTTCCCCAATCTCAGTTTCCTCATTTCTACCCTGACAGGGGTGGACTTGGTTATTGTGTAAAAATGCCACGTCACCCAGGGTGTCCTAGCCCTCCTCCAATCACCTCAGATCACAGGCTGCTCTCTGTGCCACGAACAGGACATCAGGGAGCACCCTGGGCCAGCCTGGTGAGCAGCCCCGGGGTGCCCACCCACGTGCCGGGCGGCCTGCCCCCCAGTCCTGCTGGTGTCCAGGCCGGGATCCCCGGAAGCCCCGGCTCTGCCTCCAGGTCTTGACCTCTGGGAAGTGGCCGATGGCCACAGCTCCTGCTGGGGCGTTTCTGATGCTGTCAGTGGGCTCCCTGGTCCCATTGGGATGAGGCTGGTCTTGCTCGTCCCCTTCCGGAGGGCTGTCCTCTTTTCCACGGCAGCCACCATGCCCCTGCCCTCAGCCAACATGTCTCAGTGGCCCTGTTTACAGGGCAGCCCTGGTTCATCTGGCACAGGGTGGGGGTGGGCGTCTCCCTCTGAACTCCCCGCACCAGGTCCTGCTTTCTCCAGGACCCCCGCGTGGAATTGGCCCAAGGTTCTGGGCCCACGCCCCCGTCCATCTGGAAGCAGCTCTGACGCTGGGGCCCTGGGCGCAGGGGCAGCCTGGCCTCCACGGCCCCTTCACGTCTTGGCTCCCCTCCTGCCCCCAGGGCCTGGGAGCTGGGCAGATGGAGAAGCTGCCCCAGCGGGCCTGACGCTGGGTATTTCCTAAAGCCGAGGGGAAGTGAGTTGCTCCAGCCCATGCAGGGCGGTGCCCAGGCAGAGCCCCCCACCCACACCTCCTATCTGGGATCCCTGTGCTTGTAGGACCCCACAAGAGACCTTCCATGGCAAGGTCAGACGCTAGCACCGTAGCCCGAAAATCAGAGGAAGGACCCCGAGTCACAGGTGGTCAGGACCAGGCCTCATCGGGCAGCCCCTGGTGCTCCCAGTGGTCAGTCTGCAGCCACCAAGGTCAGCCCACGCCCAGCACCCTGAGCCATGGTCTTTTGTCCTTCTTCCCACCATTCTGTGTTCTTGCCACTCGGTGCTGAGGCAGCCTGCCGCCCAGATGCGTGTGGACATCTGCTCTGGGCCAGGCGAGACAGCCCAGCCCCTGGGCCCTCAGTTCCTGCGTCTGTGATGAGGGTGACTGCAGGGCAGCCTGGGGTGTCCAGCTCTGGGGACTGTTAGCCCAGCACAGGCCAAGGGAAGGGGCCCAGAGTAGGATGAATGGGGCCCCCCAAAATATAGGGTCAAGCCCCATTCCACCATGATGGTGTCCCAGGAAGTGGCAGGTGAAGGCAGAAGCACAGGGGAGAAAGCCAGGTAATGGCTGAGTGGGGTTGGAGTGATGCAGCCGCAGCCAAGGACACCGGGGACTGCTGGCCACCACCACAAGCTGGAAGAGGCGGGACATTCTCCCCTAGAGCCTCTGGAAGGAGTGTGGCCTGGCCAACACTTTGATTTCTCCAGAACTGTGACAGAATAAAATGCCAGTTTGAGGTTCTCTGCTCTGTAGCCCCAGGATGCTGGCCTTTCGGGAATGAGATAAGCGTGTCTCCCTTGGCCGGCTCCCAGGGGGTGGCACTAAGAGTGTGGCCAGTTAGAACCCAGCCGGGGAGCATGGCAGGGGAAATGAGGGGGTGCAACAGGGCTCAGAGGAAGGGCCTGGTTCAGGCTGCGGGGACTGTAGGAAGTGCCAAAGGGAAGGGCAAAGTTTCCTGGAGGCCAAAGCGTGTGGCCAGGGGCAGCCCTCTCCAGTCGTGTTCCTGGGAATCTAGGGGTGCAGGGCGCCTGGGCAAGGGGACTGCCTGGGGGAGGATGGTGCAGTGAGGCGTGGCCTGAGCCTGAGCTGATGGGACAGCTCCAGGACTGAGGTGCTCAGCTGGGGGCACTGGGATCGGAACTCAGGGTGTGGGGCTCCAGAGCGAAGCTTCGGGACCATGTCCCAGCTCTGGCACTCCCTGTTCCCGTGGCTCCGCTGCAGGAGTGACTGTGGGCACAGTTCCAAGCACGCTGACCATGACGTGCTGTATTAGTCTGCTGGGGCTGCCATAACTGGACACCACAGGCCGAGTGGCTTAAGCATCAGACATTTATCCTGTCTGGATGGCCGAGATCAGGCGCCAGCGGGTGGTTTCTCCTGAGGCCTTTGCTTGGCTTGCAGGCGGCCTTTCCCTGTGCTCAGTCCTGGTCTCTCTTCCTCTTCCTGTGAGGACCCTCGTCCCGCTGGATCGGGGCCCCATCCTCGCAACCTCATTTCACCTGAACTACCTCCTTGCAGGCCCCAACTCCAAACGCAGTCACGTTGGGGGATAGGGCTTCAATATATGCATTTTGGGGGACACAGTTCTGTCTGTAACACATGGGCTCTTGTAGATCTCCACTTTACAGGTGGGAAAACGGAGGCATTTGGAACCAGGAGCCAGAACCAGCGCGTCTCAGCTCCCTCTGGGGGGCCCAGGCTCTCAGGCACCCATGCTCAGGCAAGCTGCACGCAGCCTCTCCTGCCCCCTCCCACCTTTGTGGACATGCAGCAGGGCAGCTCCCAGGGTGGGGCTGGGGTAGGGGTGTGGGCACCCTTGTGGGTGCGTCTCCTCCTGGAGCTGACCAGGCAAGATCCCACCCATGGCCCATCGACTCCAGCACTGCCTGCCATTGAGGGTGGCAGGGCCTTGCCTCCTCTCTTAGAGTGACAAGCCCTGATGGCCGTGCTGACGCGCAGACACTGAGAAGGATGGGGACAAGGCCCTAGAATGGGGGGGTCCAGGTAGAGGCAACACAGCCTTAGGCCCTGAGGCAGACCTCGTGTGAGTCCAGGACTGGCACTGGTGGGAGGAGGAAGGGCACGGAGAGGACTGGTCCAGGGGCAAAATGCAGGGGTGACTGATGGTGTCAGCCCCCGATACTGCCCCCACCAGGGGGATTCCCTGACGCGCTCCCTCCCAGCCTCTGTGCAAAAGTGCTCCCATGCAAAAGTGCTCGCTGAGGTGCGCGGGTGGACACGGGAAGCTTCCGGCCCAGGGCCCGGCCTCAGTTTATCCGTCTGTAAACTGGATAAGGAAAACAGCGCCCTTTTTGAGGATCTGAGCGACTGGGGACTTCTGTGCCTGAGAACACGGTTCCCAGGTGTGCGGGGCGGGGGGACCTGCGACTAGGCCGGGCCCAGAGCTGGAGGCCTCCACTGGGTCTAACCCGCCTCCCAGTTCTCTAATCCGGGCCAGACAAGCCCGTGCGGAGGGGCCCCGGGACCCAGGGCCCAGTCAGGTCCCCGCCGAGCCTGTGGCAGTGCCAACTCCTGAGGGCCACGGCCGCCCCAGGAGAGGACTTCGTGACGGCCCCGCCCCCCACGTGCAGCCCCCCCCCCGCTCGCCATCCCCGCCTCTCGGAGCCACCGGGGCGAGCTCAGGCCACTCCTTTGGGGCTCCAGGCCGGGCGGCCTCAGGAAGCTGGCGGCTTGGGGACTCCCAGGCCCAGTTGGGGGAGAGGCGTCTCGCGCGGCTGAGCCGCGTCCTGAGGTCGCACGGCCGTCGGTGAGGAGGTCCGTCAGGGGCCTAATTGGCCGCAGAGGGAAGTCGGGTCTGCCGGCGAACCCCACGTGACCCTGTGCGCCTGAGCGCATGTCGGAACCCAGTGCCGGGGCTCCCGTTTCCGGCCGGCGGGACCGGAGCAACGTACCGAGCGCACGCTGACGGCGGCCGACGGACTCGGGTCGCTATGGCAACGCAGCCCGCCTGGAAGCCGCTCCACGGGCGTTCGGGGTGAGACGGGGGCGGCTCGCGGGGGTGTTCCTGCGGGGCCCGCGACGCGGGAGGGCGCGGCGGGGGCGTGGGAGGTGCCGCTTTTCCTTGGAAAATCCCACGACTCCAGTCCCTTCGGCGCAGCGCGCTCTCTGGAGCCCTGGATCCTGAGGTGGACCCTGGCCGAGCTTCGGGCCGGCTGGGATGCCCCGGGACCCTTCGCGGGGAAGGGGGTGCGGACGGAGCGGGAACGCCCGGGGAGCTGCCGCGGGCTCAGAGAGGGCTGGGGGGCGGCCGCTGCCCGGCGCCCCGATGCGACTTGGGGGAAGGACTCCGCTGTGGGCGGGCAGTCACCGCCCTCCCTTCTGTGGCCCGTTTGCCGCGTGCCTGCTTCCTGGGGCCTTCGGGATCCTTGAGTGCAGCCTTTTGACTGCACCCAAAGTTTACAGAGCAAATCCTTTGAAAAGGTTAAGGGATTCGTTCTGTGAAGTTTGGAGTTGGTCGTGGGGCCGCACTTGGGGATCTGAAGGCCGCAGGTTCCCCACCCCGGAAGGTGGTGTTTGGAAGCCAAGATCTAGGTACGAGGTGGGCTCGTTGCTGCTACTGGGTTGTCTTCCTGTCTTGGCTTTCTCAATGGGCAGGGCTGGGAAACGTATCTGTATACACTGTACCCATCAGTATCTATTTATACGTCTTTGGGTGTGTGTACATATTGAAAACTGAGTTTATGATGATTCTAATCCATTACCACAGGGTCCATTCTGCCTTTCCCTTGTCACTCTAAACCTGGCTCTGGTCCTCCTCATTATATTGTTTGCACAGTCCTAGAATACATATAAAGCAGTTTCAGAACAGCCAATCCAAATTCTTGTGAAAAACAAACTTCCTGACTCGAGGATACTATTTGTGTGCATTTTCATTTTTATCCTTACAATGTATGGTAAAAATATTGTTTTCCAGAGTTGCCTTACTACGTTTATGATATTTGTTTGTAATAAAGTTAGGTTCAGTTTCTGTTTATTTTTCTGGGACATGGGACATTTATGTGGGTCAGAAAGCCCACAGAGTCTAAGCTCTTAACTGTAAGACTGCTCAATTTCTCTTCCATTTTATTTCTTATTTATTTACTTTTTATTGGCCAGTGTAGATTCAGAGAAAACAGTGCTGCATGCCCCTCACCGTGGTGGTGCCCGCTCCTCCAGCAAGTGCCCGTGATGGAATTAACATCTGTAAGAGCGACTGCTAATCTCTCTTATTTCTGATTTTTTTTTTTTTTTTGAGACAGAGTCTCACTCTGTTGTCCTGGCTAGAGTGAGTGCCATGGCGTCAGCCTAGCTCACAGCAACCTCAAACTCCTGGGCTCAAGTGATCCTTCTGCCTCAGCCTCCCGAGTAGCTGGGACTACAGGCATGCGCCACCATGCCCTGCTAATTTTTTTCTGTATATTTTTAGTTGTCTGATTAATTTCTTTCTATTTTTAGTAGAGACGGGGGTCTCGCTCTTGCTCAGGCTGGTTTCGAACTCCTGAGCTCAAACAATCCGCCCGCCTCGGCCTCCCAGAGTGCTAGGATTACAGACGTGAGCCACCGCGCCCGGCCTCTTATTTCTGATTTTAAAGCTGGTTGTACCTGTCCCGCACCTGGGCTAGAATACAATGGCATCTTCATAGCTCACTACAATGTCAAACTCCTGGGCGCAAGTGATCCTCCTGCCTCAGCCTGCAGAGTAGCTGAGACTGCAGGCATGCGCCACCACACCCGGCTAATTTTCCTGTTTTTTGTAGAGATGGGGGTCTCACTCTTGCTCAGCCTGGCCTTGAACTGGCCTCAAGTGATCCTCCAGGCTTGGCTTCCCAAAGTGCTAGGATTATAGGACTGAGCCACTATGCCCGGCCCCCACAAACCTGAAATTCTTTTGAAAAAAACATACAGATCTGGTTTCTGAGACAGAAAAAAAAAATAGTTATGGCTAGTTTTTGGCAGTCAGCGAAGGAAGTGAAAAAAGGCTCAGGGTCATAGGTACATAATTTTCATCCCCTGGACTAATTTAAAGGGCATATGTTTAGCTCACATGGCCTGTGTTGGATTCCAGAGAGTGCCAGGGTTGAATCCCCTATCCTAAATGTGGAGTAAGTGAGCCACCCCTGGACTTGCCTTTAAGTTCCAGAAATATTTTATAAATTAAGGTCATTAAGTATATTTACAGGGCAACAACAAGACCATATTCCTTACCGGAAGTGGATTTGGTTTCTTGTGCATTGGAAATGGTGAGGGCTCATATCATTGCTGGCTGAATGGAAAGCCAAGTGTATCGGAGCTGCAGCTCTTCGGAGGAAGGGTATAAAAAGAAAATGTTGCTTTGAGTGTCTGCTCAGTCAGTATGCCCAGATGACTTGCTCACAAACATGTAGTGACTGGTTTTTAGCCTTCGCATGTTGTCCTTTTGTCTAAGTTGTAGAATCTGCAACTGGTTGTGTTTTCTTGGGGTCATGCAATGCCTTTCCCAATTAAGTATCGGTTAAATGTTTGTTATAAAAAAATTGCTCCACATTTTTAGTTAGCTGAGCAGAAGTATGATTCACTCCCCTGTCCCATCTGTGGGCCAGGTAGCTCATGGGTGCATCTCTGACTGACGGTCTGGAGGTGTTGGCGAGGGGAAGGATGATCACACGCTCTTCCTCTGCAGGATATGGTCGCTGCAGCAAGCTTGCAAGGGAGATGGGGCACAACCAGGACAAGGAAAGTCCTTCTGCAGAGCTCACCATGCTGGGAATTTTTCTTATCTCCCCCATATTAATAATAGCTCCTTTTCAGACGATCTTGGGGCTTGCCCTTTGTCTTGAACCCTTTCCTCTTAAGTATGACGGCAGCTGTTGAGAGGTACTTGGCCATGCGTCCTACTCCCAGCTCTGGCCATCTTCGGCCCTCTCATAATCTATGTAGAGACGTCTCAGAGTCTTTCACTAGCTGGAAGTGCCAACTTTTTATCCTTTTCTTCTGCTTGTTCCTGCTGCCCTCTGCATTGCGCTCTTTGCAGCTGTCAAGGCTGGGGCCTGCGTGCTCAGGGATGACCACTGCAGATCACTGTTGGATTTCGGACAAGTGTGGACAAGCTGCTCCACACTCCACTATATTGTTTGTGACATCATCTTAACACTGGGGCATGTTCAAGCCGCAATTGTTGGTGGACTGAGGTTGTCGTTGTTCTGCTCACTGCTGAACTACGTCTTTTAGATGGGGCAGCACGTTTTTATGTGTGGGAAACCATGGCTGTCATGAGGAGTTATTTTCATCTTCCTAAATGCAGTGATTTCCTAGTGCTTTTCACACTTGACAGGTAAACCTACAACATCCCTTGAGATCAGAAAGGGTTAGAAAGCTCAGTATTTGAAACATGAGGAAATCGAACTGATGAGATGCCCTGCCCTGCAGCGTTCCAGCCCCTGCCGGGTGCAGACATCCTGACCTTTGAAGATCCTTCTCCTTGAAGATCGTACATGTCTCGTCGGTGGTGGGTCCCTCCCTCTCCGGAGATTTCTGCTGCAGCTCCCCAGAAGCTTTGTGTGGTCCTTCTTGAAAACCCGGTGCTTGCCGGGGACACCTGCTGGCTGACAGACAGATTTGGTCCAGTCTCTGAATCTATGATGTTTAAAGCCGATTAATCTCAGCCTCGGGGCTTTTGGATCTTCCTTTGGTGAGATTTGTACAAAAGCAGGGCAGGCTGTGCTGGGATGGGGTAAGTAGGAAAGGAGCGGTGACCATGGACTTACACGCCCTTGGCATGTGAGGGTTTACCCAGGGTCCTGCGCGCTGGGTCTGGTGCAGCTGACTGATGAAGCCGGTCAGGGGTCGGGGGGCCGGGGATTTCACGGGCTGGTGGGTTGAGCCCTTGCTGTCTATTTACAGCTGCTCCTCTGTGCAGAGAACGGAATCCTGGGTCACACCCATCTTACTCTAGAACTCTGGACGCTTCCACAGAGGGTGGCCTGTTGAGTCCCAAAGACCTAGTGGGAAGGAACTTCCCTGATAGACGGACAAAATGTAACATTCTGGGCCTGTTAGCAGTGGCTGGAAATCCAGTGGGAGCTTGGGTGAGCCGCGCAGGCCACGCCCAATCCTAGGGGTCTTATGTGTTGTGCCAAAGAGGCTGGACTTTATTTTAAAGATGACCAGGAGCCACAGGCAGATTTTAAGCAGAAGGATGCTACGTGATCAGAAGAGTGACTCCTTTGGGTGGCTGAACAGATCACAGAGGCAAGCCTGGTGGCAGGGAGAACAGGGTGCTGTGGGCAGTCCTCAGAGAAGAGGCCCACTGACTTTGCAGACCTCGGCGTGCTCCTCTGCAGAGAACCTTGTACTGGCTCACAGACACGGAGGGAGAGGTTCTGAGTCATCGAAGATCACAGTGACGTTGGTGTCATTTAATGTGTATTTGATAATATTCTGATTCTTTTCCTGTGAGTGTGCACAGGTATGTGCGTGGCCTATACGTACAAAATGTTCCTGTGGCCAAGACTCTGCCAGACAGTAGAGCTTACTGCACCAGACGCTGGGGTGCTGCCCTGTGCCAGTTTGGGGTGGAAGGTTAGGAAGGGTTCCCTGGAGCGGTCCTTGGGTGGAGGTTGCAGTGGCAAAAGGAGCCTTCCGTGCGGATTAGGAGGAGCCTCCAGGCAGAGGGGCACCCTGCGGCGTGGGTGCTAGCACGGGACCCTCAGCATGGCCTGGCTCTGAGCGATGCCGCAGCAGAGGGTGGGCTGCTTGGGGTCCAGGAGTTCTAAGTGGAATGGGAAGTCCAGGTTAGGTGGTTTTTTTTTGTTTGTTTTTTGGGTTGTTTTCTTCAGATAGGGTCTCTCCCTGTCACCCAGGCTGGAGTTCAGCAGCATCATCATAGCTGACTGCAGCCTTGAATTGCAGGCTCAAGTGATCTTCCTGCCTCAGCCTCCCGAGTCACTGGGACTACAAGTGTGCGCCATCACACCGGGCTAATTTTTTATTTACAGACGTGAGCTACCGCGCCGGGCCCTGGTTAGGCATTTTTAAAACTGAATTCCTTTGGCAGCCGTGCAAGGGCAAGTGTGGAGCAGAGAGGCTGGTGCGGGTCTCCTGCAGTAAGTGGTGGTCAAGGGACGGTGTGAGATCCAGGCTCGTCCAGCTGGGTGGGCGGTGGCGCCACTGAGTGAGCCGAGGGAGATGGAGGCGGCCGCATGGGGGATGCGCCAGGTTGGTCCCGACCCCGTCCACTCTGGTGACAGATGCACTCGTGGCAGCTCCGAGGAGTGGCCAGGCGGAGGAGGCCAAGGCGGACATGAGGCGCATGGGGTGCTGGGTGGGCCCCACGGCGGAGCTCCACCCAGGGAGTGTGTGTAACGGG